CGGGTTCTCATTCCTGATGCTCATAAAACCTGGAATTCAGGTGGAGATGCAGAGGATACTGCCTGATCTTGAAAGCCTCTGCGGGCATTTTAGGTAAGAGGGTGTAGCGTGCCTACCTGTCCATGCGGCAGGTGGGGCATACCTGCACGTTGTGTGAAAACATATATGCAGGATTTCAGCTTAACCTAACATTGCCACTATAAGTTATCTGTGTAGCTGGCGCTTCACTAAGCTAATCAATCACACTCTAAAGATTGCCCCTCTGGCAAATACTATTGCTCTCATATTGGAAGGTTGAATGCCACATCACCAGTTTGCCTACATGTGCTCTTTGATACACAATCTGGATTGCATACGTCCTGCCATTACTGGGAAAGGTTTTAATTTCTTCTCATTATTAATGTACATTGCTCAAGTTAATGGTATTCACGTTGTATAACCATTTATATAGCTCTGTACTGTTATTTGAGCACATTTATTTACATTGATTTACCTGGACAACCTGCAGCGGTCACTACCTTCATTCAATGTAAATACCACTTGTTTCATTCTTCATGGTCCTTCGATCCCCTACATATCATTCCTATCTTTTAGGCAGAAAATAAAGGGAGGTTGTTATGTTACAAACTTGTTAAGACATCATGAAAATACCAATACCCTGTACAAAAAAACATGAATGGCCCGTGTTGGGCAGGTGTGGGCTACCCTGTGTTGGGCTGGTGTAGGCTAGCCCTTGTTGGGCAGGTGTGGGCTAGCCTGTGCCCACCTTGCCCACTGAATACCTACATGGGGTCAATGGGGTCATGTTTGCTGGGACCATAACTCCAAATGGTAATACAAAGAGTGACATTTTCCACTTTGTCCTATTGAAGCACACTGGCTGATGGAGGATGACGATGTGGTATTTACAGTCACATTCGTATGATTTGGTATAGTTGTTTTATATTCCAAAGTCAATTGATGTCAATTGATATATTCATGATGTTAAAATATAGAATTTTACAGTATTCATCATTTCTCAAACTGTAAATGAAGAGTTTATTTCCAAAACACTATATCCACCAATGTCAAATATTACTGTTCTCATATTTTTTAATCATAGATTTTAGGTGTGTATTAAAATTAGTTTTTTTGCAAAACGCTATATATCCATTGTTTAGCGATGCATTCAAGTTGATGCCTTAAAGTTCCATGATAATTGTAGAACTTATTGAATGATCCTAAACTTACTTGCTTGCTTTTTAATAACCTCGATGTGAGACCTATTGAGTGAACATGCGTCTATAATTGTAACTTGCTGACGGGTAGGAAAACTTGTCCAAAAATAGAAAATAGTGTTGTGTGAAGCAAGAAATAAAAGTATCATTATTATTACCATACAGAGAATAATAAAATATGTTGGCTACTCTCTGTCTATTGGCTTCTTAGCATATTCAAGCCTGACTCAAAATACCCCTTTAGGAGAAAAACAACACTTTTTTACCTAACTTGCTTTTCAAAGATGGCTAGAAATATATCTGCTAAATGACTCAAATGTCAAATGTCAAAAAACTAGCAAAAAACAACAACAAATGTGCAGACACGGTGATTGGGTGTTTTTGTAGGCTGACACAAGAGTTGTATTGGTATTTGTAGACCCGCTTGTCCCCATCTGCTTGCTAAATATTAGTTTGAGGCCAGGTAAAAAAAAAAATAAAAAAAGTCAGGCGATGATTATTGATTAAAGGACCCCTCCAGAGGAAGTTGCGGGCACTATTTCAATGTAATTCCTGTCCTAGCGTGGAACTGCTGGTTTAGTTCCACCCTCCGAACACTGACGTATGGCTCCTTATAAATATTGATTAATCGGGCGCGTACAGCTCCACCTTCCTCCGTGTGCACAGCCCACACGGTCCCTGGCACAGCCCACACTCTCCCACATCAAACACACCAAAAAGTCAGGGTCAGGGTAGCTGCGCTAATCACTACAGAACACACAGCACAGCTAGCTACGAAAAGGCGGAGGACCATCCACTCTCCTCTTCCCTCTTCTACAACGGAATTGAATAATCAAGGATGAATACAGAGTTTTAGCGGTAATCCTGGGGGTTTTTTAGCGGCGATGCTAGAGGCAAGCTAACCTACTTCGCTAATCACTACAGATGCAATCATCATAGACAAACATTGGCAGTAGAATGGCCCATACTGAAGAGATCAGTGACCTTCAACGTGGCACCGTCATCGGATGCCACTTTTCCAACTAGTCAGTTCGTCAAATTTCTGCCCTGCTAGAGCTGCCCCGGGTCAACTGTAAGTGCTGTTATTGTGAAGTGGAAACGTCTAGGAGCAACAACGGCTCCGCTGCAAAGTGGTAGGCCACACAAGCTCACAGAACGGGACCGCCGAGTGCTGAAGCGTGGTTGCAACACTCACTACCGAGTTTCAAACTGCCTCTGGAAGCAACGTCAGCACAAGAACTGTTCGTCGGGAGCATCATGAAATGGGTTTCCATGGCCGAGCAGCCGCACACAAGTCTAAGATTACCATGCGCAATGCCAAGAGTCGGCTGGAGTGGTGTAAAGCTCACCGCCATTGGACTCTGGAGCAGTGGAAACTCGTTCTCTGGAGTGATGAATCACGCATGACAATGCCCCTGTGCACAAAGCGAGGTCCATACAGAAATGGTTTGTCGAGATCGGTGTGGAAGAACTTGACTGGCCTGAACAGAGCCCTGACCTCAACCCCATCGAACACCTTTGGGATGAATTGGAACACCGACTACAAGCCAGGCCTAATCGCCCAACATCAGTGCCCGACCTCACTAATGCTCTTGTGGCTGAATGGAAGCAAGTCCCCGCAGCAATGTTGAAACATCTAGTGGAAAGCCTTCCCAGAAGAGTGGAGGCTGTTATAGCAGCAAGGGTGGGGGGCAACTTCATATTAATGCCAATGATTTTTGGAAATGGATGTTCGACGAGCAGGTGTCCACATACTTTTTGGTCATGTAGGCGGCAGGTAGCCTAGTGGTTAGAGCGTTAGGACAATGACTGAAAGGTTGCTAGTTCAACTACTGAAGCTGACAAGGCTAATCTGTTGATGTGCCCTTGAGCAAGGCACTTAACCCTAATTGCTCCTGTAAGTCGCTCTGGATAAGAGCGTCTGCTAAATGACAAAAAAATGTAAAAAATAAATTAACAAAAATGTAGTGTATGTACTGTAATATAGGTTATAGCCAAGAGAGGAGGAAGTAGTGGCTTGTTAGAACACAGATATGGTTCTAATTTCAGTGGTGCTCTTCAGAACAGCATTGTATGATAAACTAGGCAAAACATGGACCCATTTTTTTTTTTTTTTTTTACAATTTACAATGTCATCCACAACTCACTTTATGTCAATATAACAATATCGCTACTGAGCGTTTGTAAGACACATGAATCGCATAGGTAGGTTGTTGAATTTGTCATTATGTCTGTCACGGATTCAGTCCATACCGTTACCAGAATCAGGCAGGGATTCTCTCTCTGTATACAGTCAAGACAGTGCTGTCGGATTCCTACCCACCCTATGTAGCTCAATGACCGGCTCAAGCCGCCCATGATTGTCCAGCCTTGTAGTCCTCACATCTTCTACTCTATCTCACCTAGCTAGATGGTGGTGGAGAGATTTTAGCAGGATGGACAAACCAACTATCATGGACCGATGAAAATGGGGTCAATTTAGCAGAGAGAACAGTCTATGACTAAGGTGGCTGGAGTCTTTGATTATTTTTAAGGCCTTCCTCTGACACCGCCTGGTATAGAGGTCCTGGATGGCAGGAATCTTGGCCCCAGTGATGAACTGGGGACCGTACGTACTACATTTACATTTACATCATTTAGCAGACGGTTTTGAAAACATAGCTTGTCCTAAAATGTGGTCTCAGGGTATGGGGTAAATTGAGAATGGGGACAGGGATATTGTGCCAATTCGTAGGCAAGTTCTCTACATTTGAGTCTACTAAGCCCATGAAACTGTCTGTGAGATTCTTGATATGTCTAGCAAGCTCAGACTCCATGTCATCGGAAAACACCTTGTGTTCCTCTGCTACTCTATCAAAGTCTCTCTTTTTTCACAGGAACATGTTTGTTTTCTTGTTTGTTAATGTTCTTCAGCTTCACTCTGTCTATTGTTCATCCCTTCTCTCACTTCCTTGGCTGCTCTCTCAGGAACCTCAACGGGGGCTAGACCCCTGCTTGTTTTACGTTTGTATTCACGGGGCATGATGGTGTCTGCTCTGTAGCAATAAAAATGCACTATCTTGAGTTCATATACATGACAAATTGCAAAAATACTATGCATATTATGCATCAAACTGACGAAATGTAATCATCATTTGTATGGGGTGTACTTGCCCCTGGCCAAATGGCACAATGTACCCCAAAGCAACCATTTTGACTGTATTAGCTCGGGGATACACTTTCATTCTAGGTTCAGGACCTCATATTGTAGCTTATAGAGACCTCAACTGATGTATGAAACAAATCTTAAAATGATCTACTTTGATTTGGATTTCAAGCATCATGAAACCTACAACACAATACATTTATTTGACTACCAACACTTTTCCCATGTGGTTTCTTCCTTCACAGACTCCATGAAATGATGACCTCTTCCTAAATATTTGGTCACATTAATTTAATACATTTTGTGTATGGTTTCCCTAGAAACAAGGGGTTGCTCAACTAACCCTTTGGCACAACGTACCCCACTCCCCCCCCCCCTACAGCCTTTCACAGACCTTCTCTCAGTTGAGCATGGCCCATTGACAGTGGATGGACCCACCAGTTGTACCCCACCCCCCCCCTACAGCCTGTCACAGACCTTCTCACAGTTGAGTATGGCCCATTGACAGTGGATGGACCCACCAGTTGTACCCAACTCCCCCCTACAGCCTTACCTCTGTTTTACTTGCTATAATATTATCTCTGTCTGCTTGTATCACTTGCTTTCTCTCCTATCTCCCTTGTTCTCCCTCTTTTTAGATAATTCAACAGTTGATCCAATAAATAGGTTTGTCATTGAGCCATGCCATGGCCATGTTAGTTGGTACAAACTGGGTTCCTACTGGGTTAAGCATTTCAACCAGATGTTGGACTATACGGCAGCTGAGGTAAATTCTGACTTCTCTCGGGTTTTGGCCCACATACCAATTATCTCTCAGTTAAAGGTAGACATACAGTGGTGTGCCTCCCCACTGGGCACAGATGTCAGTTCAATGTCTAGTTTTGATTTACATTTTGATTGAGTTGTCAAATAACATGAATTAAAAGTGAATAAACAACATTTTGAACCATGTCAATAGATTTAGGTTAAGCATTGGGTGAAAAAAATACAACAATTCCTATACTGTACGGTTAATGACTTTTTACTAATCCAGTCACTTTTCCACATTGATTCAATGTCTTCAGAAGGGAAAACGTTGATTTTTGTTGTTGAAATTACATGGTAACAACCTTGATTTAATAAGTTTGTGCCCACTGGTTCTGTATCTATGCTGTGCAATTTAACACCAAAGCATCATTCATTTGAATCAACCCTAAATATGTTGTCTTTGTTTCCATAACACACACACACACACACACACACACACACACACACAGACTCACTGCAAATCAGAGAAGTCTGGTGCTCGTCTGGTAGCAGTCCACAATGCTGAGGACAACAATGCACTGGATGAATTCACTCAGTGGAGCAGCCGAGGAAAAACCCCTTGCATCTGGCTCGGCGGTTCTGCAGTAACTGACCCTTCAAAAGGTCAAATCAAATGTTATTTGTCACATACACGTGTTTAGCAGATGTTATAGCGGGTGTAGCGAAATGCTTGTGCTTCTAGCTTCGACAGTGCAGTAATATCTAACAAGTAATATCTAACAATTTCACAACATATACCCAATACACACAAATCTAAGTAAGGAATGGAAGTTAAGAATATATACATGTATGGACGAGCAATGACAGAGCGGCATGGACTAAGATACAGTAGAATATTATAGAATGCAGTATATACATATGAGATGAGTAGTGCAAGATATGTAAACATTATTAAAGTGACTAGTGTTCCATTTCTTAAAGTGGCCAGTTATTTCAATAGGCAGCAGCAGCCTATAATGTGCTAGTGATGGCTATTTAACAGTCTGATGGCCTTGAGATAGAAGCAGTTTTTCAGTCTCTCGGGCCCAGCTTTAATGCACCTGTACTGACCTTGCCTTCTGGATGATAGCGGGGTGAACAGGCAGTGGCTCGGGTGGTTGGTGTCCTTGATGATATTTTTGGCCTTCCTGTGACATCGGGTGCTGTATGTGTCTTGTAGGGCGGGTAGTTTTCCCCCAGTAATGCGTTCGGCAGACCGCACCACCCTCTGGAGAGCCCTGCGGTTGTGGGCGGTGCAGTTGCCGTACCAGGCGGTGATACAGCCCGACAGGATGCTCTCAATTGTGCATCTGTAAAAGTGTGTGAGGGTTTTAGGTGCTAAGCCTCCTGAGGTTGAAGAGGCTCTGTTGCGCCTTCTTCACCACACTGTCAGTGTGGGTGGACCATTTCAGTTTGTCGGTGATGTGTACGCCAAGGAACTTGAAGCTTTCCACCTTCTCCACTGCGGTCCCGTCGATGTGGATAGGGGGGTGCACCCTCTGCTGTTTCCTTAAGTCCACAATCATCTCCTTTGTTTTGTTGATGTTGAGAGAGAGGTTATTTCTCCTGGCACCACACTCCCAGAGCCCTCACCTCCTCCCTGTAGGCGGTCTCGTCATTGTTGGTAATCAAGCCTACTACTGTTGTGTCGTCTGCAAACTTGATGATTGAGTTGGAGGCGTGCTTGGCTACGCAGTCATGGGTGAACAGGGAGTACAGGAGGGGGCTGAGCACGCACCCTTGTGGGGCCCCAGTGTTGAGGATCAGCGAAGTGGAGATGTTTCCTACCTTCACCACCTGGGGGCGGCCCGTCAGGAAGTCTAGGACCCAGTTGCACAGGGCGGGGTTCAGACCCAGGGCCTCGAGCTTAATGTTGAGCTTGGAGGGTACTATGGTGTTGAATGCTGAGCTGTAGTCAATGTACAGCATTCTTGCATAGGTATTCCTCTTGTCCAGATGGGATAGGGCAGTGTGCAGTGTGATGGCGATTGCATCGTCTGTGGATCTATTGGGGCAGTAAGCAAATTGAAGTGGGTCTAGGGTGACAGGTAAGGTAGAGGTGATATGATCCTTGACTAGTGATAATAATCATAAAAACTAGTGGTGGGCACCAATATCCATGATATCGATATCGCTTGATATCTCGATATGAGCAAGGCATATCGTGATATTGGTTTATCCCTTCCTGTTAACTTACACTTTTATGTAAAAAGACATACATGATTGTGCCTTTCACAGACCTTCTCACAGGCTCTCAGTTGAGTATGGCCCATTGACAGTGGATGGAAACTGGTTGGGTGGGTTTAGGCCTCCCAGAACATTCACACCTGGCCCAATGGGCAATCAGCAAGCCGTTGTCTAGACTTCATAGAACCGTGAGAAGTCAACAGAAAAGTGAACATTCACACGGGTTGCCAGGTTTTCATGAAGCCGATATATACACTGAGAGTACAAATCATTAGGAACACCTTTCTAATATTGACTTGAGGTTTCGAAAGCGTTCCACAGGGATGCTGGCCGAGCACATGTTGACTCCAATGCTGCCTACAGTTGTGTCAAGTTGGCTGGAATGTCCTTTGGGTGGTGGACCATTCTTGATACACACAGGAAACTGTTGAGCATGAAAAACCCAGCAGTGTTGCTTTTCTTCACACACTCAAACCGGTGCGCCTGGCACCTACTACCATACCCCGTTCAAAGGCAATTGAATATTTTGTCTTGCCCATTCACCCTCTGAATGGCACACGTACACAGTCTATGTCTCAATTGTCTCAAGGCTTAAAAATCCTTCTTTAACCGGTCTCCCTTCCTTCCTCTAAACGGATTGAAGTGGATTTAACAAGTGACATCAATAAGGGATCATAGCTTTCACCTGGATTCACCTGGTCAGTCTATGCCATGGAAATAGAAGGTGTTCCTAATATTTTGTACACTCATTGTATATCAGTATTGTATGGGGGAAAAAATGCAACTCCTATTGACTTCGACTTTTTCATATCTGTGCCCACCTGCCGCCCCAGTTCCCTCTTGTGATTCCTCATGCAGCTGTAGGCCTATACATGTATTACAACTTTTCACTTTACTATGTAGACCAGGGGTGTCAAACTCATTTTAGCTCAGGGGCCACATGGAGGAAAATCTATTCCCAAGTGGGCCGGACCGGTAAAATCATGGTATATATAACTTAAAAACAACAACTTCAGATTGTTTTCTTTGTTTTAATACTATCAACATAAAACATAAAGCTGGAGCCTGAGGACAGTGTGTCCAAAATAGTACAAGCACAACATCACTATTAATCATAAAACACCTGAAGTTTATTTGAAAATTCTAAAGAAAAAGAACACACAAACACACAATGCCTCAGTGATTCACATAACTGTTTCACAGATCACAGAACTATATCAGGGTGTCATTTCTCAGGCAGAAATGTAGATACAAATAATGAAATCCTGTTCCCCAAACAAGTGCAAGAACCACAGAGTCAAGAATAGGTTAAATATACAAATAAAATAAAATCAATTAAAAACAATAGCACATCAACATAAAAACATATAAACATAAAGCTGGAGCCTGAGGACAGTGTGTACAAAAGCACAACATCACTATTAATCATAAAACACCTCAAGTTATTTGAAATTCTGAGGACAAACAACACACAAACACACAATGCCTCAGTGATTCACAGAAGTATATCACAGATCACAGAACTATATCAGGGTGTCTCATGCAGCACTTTAAGTGGGGTTGCAGAGTTTATTTGACTCCTGATACCTGGCATCTTTTAGCTTTCACCAGCGCATCAATATCAGGTGTCACATCCTGAGTGGCAGCCAACTTCAGGATGTGATTCAAGTGCTTGTGCGTGAGCCTTGAGCGCAGCTTTGTTTTATTCATGACGTTATCCATCTTTAATGACTTGCAACACAAAGACTCCTGGTGCAAAATACAGTGAAAAGTCCAAAAATCACGTCCTCCATTTGCAGATTGCACTTTCTCTCTGAACTTTGTCACAACGCCTGCTTTTTTCCAGATAATTGAGGGCGCACCATCTGTAGCCAGGCTGACAGCACGGGACCAGTCCACTCCGACCCTGTCCAGCGCTCCGACGAGTGCAGTGAAAATATCAGCTGCTGTCGTTGTATCTGTCATCGGCACCAACTCCACGAACTCCTCGGTGACGGTCAATGTGTCATCAACTCCGCGGATGAAAATGGCCAGTTGTGCAACATCTGTAATGTCCGTGCTTTCATCAATTGCAACCGAAAACGCAATAAATGACTTTACTTTTTGCTTCAACTGGCTGTCCAAATCCACTGAAAGATCGGAAATCCTGTCTGCAACTGTGTTTCTTGTCAGGCTGATATTTGCAAAAGCCTGGTGCTTTTCTGGGCACACAATCTCTGCTGCCTTCATCATGCATGTTTTACAAATTCACCCTCACTAAATGGTTTTGAAGCCACTGCGATTTCATTAGCAATGAGGTAGCTAGCTTTCACTGCAGCGTCACTGATGTCTCGGCTGTGAGTAAACACAGACTGCTGTTTCTTCAGACCCACCAACAGTTCATTCACCTTCTCTCTTCTCCGCTGTCCTTGAAAGTTGTCATATTTGTCGGCATGAAGACTCACATAGTGGCGACGAAGGTTAAATTCTTTCAGCACTGCAACATGCTGTGAACACACCAAACATACAGCTTTCCCATTCAATTCCGTGAATAAATAGAAGGATGACAATTTTTCTTGGAACACTCTGCACTCTGCGTCCACTTTTCTCTTTTTTGACAGAGACATATTGGGGCAATGAGGGTGCCAAAGCACATAATGTTAAAAGTAGAAGCCGTAATAAATATCGCGGGCAAAACAAAGCTCATCCGGACTGGCTGCACTTGCTTGACCTATTTGCTCTGCCCCGGTATAAACAGTTTGCTTGCTTAACACAATTGCTATTGCGCCATCCAGTGGACACAGGGACTGCGGTTGAAAATTAGCCGGCTGGCTAAAACCGGCACTTTTACTGAAACGTTGATTAATGTGCACTGTCCCTGTAAAAATAAACTCAAACTCAACAACTCAACAATTGGAACAGCAGTTTCTTTTATTGAAAAATTGCAGCTCATTTTTATACTTTACAAAATCATCTCGCGGGCCGGATTAAACCCGTTTGCGGGCCTGATCCGGCCCGCGGGCCGGACGTTTGACACCCCTGATGTAGACAGACAGTAAAGTAATTCACTTCAAATGAGATGAACCCAATTAAATTCCTAAATGGATATGTGCTGGTTGGGACAACATGCCACAGAAAGATGATCCTTTAGTTAACATCCACTATAATATTAAAGGATGCTGCATCAGAGTGAGCTGCTGAGGCAGCCATGACAGTTTAGAGATGGACAACAGGTTGAACCCATAGATTTAGAATGGATTACATACCTTCCCATTCAATGCCCTGTTCCAGTAGTGTACCCAAACAGAGAGCATGTGTGATTGGACTTCAATGCGTTTTCACGCAAGGCCACTTATTTTGAAAACAGGTAGGGGCTATTGCAGTGTCGTTAGCTTAGCTCTGCTTTAGAAAGATTATACACTGCTCAAAAAAATAAAGGGAACACTAAAATAACACATCCTAGATCTGAATGAATGAAATAATCTTATTAAATACTTTTTTCTTTACATAGTTGAATGTGCTGACAACAAAATCACACTTTGATGTAATGTCCTTAAAACAAGTCAAAATGAGGCTCAGTAGTGTGTGTGGCCTCCACGTGCCTGTATGACCTCCCTACAATGCCTGGGCATGCTCCTGATGAGGTGGCGGATGGTCTCCTGAGGGATCTCCTCCCAGACCTGGACTAAAGCATCCGCCAACTCCTGGACAGTCTGTGGTGCAACGTGGCGTTGGTGGATGGAGCGAGACATGATGTCCCAGATGTGCTCAATTGGATTCAGGTCTGGGGAACGGGCGGGCCAGTCCATAGCATCAATGCCTTCCTCTTGCAGGAACTGCTGACACACTCCAGCCACATGAGGTCTAGCATTGTCTTGCATTAGGAGGAACCCAGGGCCAACCGCACCAGCATATGGTCTCACAAGGGGTCTGAGGATCTCATCTTGGTACCTAATGGCAGTCAGGCTACCTCTGGCGAGCACATGGAGGGCTGTGCGGCCCCCCAAATAAATGCCACCCCACACCATGACTGACCCACCGCCAAACCGGTCATGCTGGAGGATGTTGCAGGCAGCAGAATGTTCTCCACGGCGTCTCCAGACTCTGTCACGTCTGTCACATGTGCTCAGTGTGAACCTGCTTTCATCTGTGAAGAGCACAGGGCGCCAGTGGCGAATTTTCCAATCTTGGTGTTCTCTGGCAAATGTCAAACGTCCTGCACGGTGTTGGGCTGTAAGCCCAACCCCTAGCTGTGGACGTCGGGCCCTCATACCACCCTGACCGTTTGAGCAGACACATGCACATTTGTGGCCTGCTGGAGGTCATTTTGCAGGGCTCTGGCAGTGCTCCTCCTGCTCCTCCTTGCACAAAGGCGGAGGTAGCAGTCCTGCTGCTGGGTTGTTGCCCTCCTACGGCCTCCTCCACGTCTCCTGATGTACTGGCCTGTCTCCTGGTAGCGCCTCCATGCTCTGGACACTACGCTGACAGACACAGCAAACCTTCTTGCCACAGCTCGCATTGATGTGCCATCCTGGATGAGCTGCACTACCTGAGCCACTTGTGTGGGTTGTAGACTCCGTCTCATGCTACCACTAGAGTGAAAGCACCACCAGCATTCAAAAGTGACCAAAACATCAGCCAGGAAGCATAGGAACTGAGAAGTGATTGATTTCACAGAAGTGTGATTGACTTGGAGTTACATTGTGTTGTTTAAGTGTTCCCTTTATTTTTTTGAGCAGTGTACTAAAATCAGTCACATCATTGGTTGAGAGAACAGCCGTGCATTAGGTTAAATGTGATTAATCTGTCCAAACAATAATGAGTTCAGCTGAATCGCTGCAAAACTGTTTACGGTTTACAAGTCAAGTTGTCTGTCCAATCAGCGGTCTCTCATAAATGATGGGAAAGGGGCAGGTGCGGTTTTAGACACATGAACCAATGTGGCGCGCTTCCGTATATATGGCCAAATTATTTTATTTTTTTGTCATTTAGCAAAATATGTTTGTCTTGTTATTATAATTTCAGGCTTCGCCCTCATTACAGGTAAACTGTCAAATTGTACAAATGCTGTGATTCCTTATAACCATGAGGAGTGCTCATGTGGAATTGCAAAGATTAATGTAGCCTAAATAAAGATGAGATTGTAGTTACATAATAAATCAATAAAAATTGCCTTCCAGGTTTCTATTTTATGGCACTCAATTGCAGAAATTACGCTACAGAAATGATTGTAAATGAAGATGTTTCCATAATTTAATGATTTCTAATGAATAGCTTTTGTTTTACATGGAAATGCTAAACAAATATTGGACTTCCATTGTAACCTAGGCTAACCTAGTTTTCAATTAGTGAGAGTTAATATATTACCCTGTTTAATTTAGAGTTGATCATGGCACAGCCTAGTATTATAAATTGCTCGGTTGGTTGAGCAGGGCACCTGTAACGCCGGGGTAGTCTGATTGATTCCTGGGACCACCCACATGTAAAATGTATGCACTCATGACTGTAACATGCTTTGGATAAAAGTGTCTGCTAAATGGCACATTATATTATATTATTATTATTATGTCAAGGTGAAATACATAAAATGTTGAATCGTAATAAGATAATGTGTAGAGGATGTCGCTTACATTCCTTGATAAATTATTATTTATCTGTCACACCCTGGCTCTGGGGACTCTATATGTTGAGCCAGGGTGTGTAGATTCCATGTGTTTATGTTCTGTGTGGGAGTTCTAGTTGTGGTATTTCTATGTTGGCCAGAGTGGCTCCCAATCAGAGGCAACGAGTGTCAGCTGTTGCTGGTTGTCTCTGATTGGGAACCATATTTAAACAGTCTGTTTTCCATTAGTGTTTGTGGGATCTTGTTTCCGTTTGGTTTGTTTCCGTGTTGGTTGTGTAAACCGTAGGACTGCACGTTTCGTTTGTTGTTTATATTATCACTAAGATAATAAATTTTAAGTATGTTTGCAACTAACGCTGCGCATTGGTCTACTCCGTATAACGATCGTGACATTATCGTTCTAAAACCTGCTCGTGAGGTTAGTTCAGGCACAAACCGCAGCTGAAACACAAATTGCTCGAACACTAAATGGTACATAAGTGATTTCTGAAATCAAGGTGAGAGGTAGGTTGGCTCTAAAGTGCAGGTGCTGGGGAAGGACCGCCTTATTTAGCTTAATCCCCTAAAACGTGGATTTGAACCTCTTTTGAAGGCTAAACTAAATACACTATAACAGCTGCTTGTCTTCACTATTCAAATTGAGCATCATGATAAAAACCAGAAGAGTTGTCATGAGTTGCCCCCCCCTGTCCTTATGCTTGGTCTCTGTTGTCAAGCGTTCATAGATGACAAGCTGGGTCAAATAATAATCACAGTGATTGTAGAGGGTGCAACAGGTCAATACCTCAGGAGTAAATGTCAGTTGGCTTTTCATAGCCAAGCATTCAGAGAGAGAGTCAAAAACAGCAGGTCCGGGACAAGGTAGCACGTCCGGTGAACAGGTCAGGGTTCCCTAGCCGCAGGCAGAACAGTTGAAACTGGAGCAGCAGCACGACCAGGTGGACTGGGGACAGCAAGGAGTCATCAGGCCAGGTAGTCCTGAGGCATGGTCCTAGGGCTCAGGTCCTCCGGGAGGGGAGGGAGAGAGGGAGAGAGAGTGAATTAGAGGGAGCAAACTTCAATTCACAGAGGACACCAGATAAGACAGGAGAATTACACCAGATATAACAGACTGACCCTAGCCCCCCGGCACACAGACTATTGCAGCATAGATACTGGAGTGAACGGATGATCTCCGCATGTGTATTTCCCACCGTAAAGCATGGAGGAGGAGGTGTTATGGTGTGGGGGTGCTTTGCTGGTGACACTGTCTGTGATTTATTTAGAATTCAAGGCACACTTAACCAGCATGGCTACCACAGCATTCTGCAGCGATACGCCATCCCATCTGGTTTAGTGGGCTTAGTGGGCTATCATTTGTTTTTCAACAGGACAATGACCCAACACACCTCCAGGCTGTGTAAGGGCTATTTTACCAAGAAGGAGAGTGATGGAGTGCTGCATCAGATGACCTGGCCTTCACAATCCCCCGACCTCAACCCAATTGAGATGGTTTGGGATGAGTTGAACGGCAGAGTGAAGGAAAAACAGCCAACAAGTGCTCAGCATATGTGGGAACTGTACCATTCGATCCAGATGATATGACTTGATCTATTCTGTCACCGCACGGCACAACAGGACATTTCCATTAAACTTTTTTGAGTTTTACACCTGTCTGTTTTGATCACTTCACCTGATTTCAATGGGCCATTCTCTTCTTATGACACCAACTCGTGCGCACGTTAGCTTGTCTGGTATACGTGACATGGCAGAAAAACCATCCATTCCACTCACTCACACTGGAGAGAATTCAGGAATGGTGAGTGGTGACTCTATTGTCTCTGGTGTTCAACCTGCGCTCTATGGTCCATGTTGTATGGCATCATCGCATGGCCTTTGTTCCCCACGAAGCTAATAAAGCCTTCTACAGAATACCACATGAAGTCTTGACAGTACTCTTGACAGTACTCACTGGACCGTCTAGTATGTTTCTGTGGCTAAGAAGACCACACCCAGAGACAGGAGTCGTGCTCAGACATCTCCAGGGTGGTCAATTCAGGACATTTAAACACTTTAACACTTAAAATACCAGTTAATTTTTTCAATTCATTAATCAGATTTCAGTTAATTCCTTCATTGACTGTATTTGAATCAAACATATCCCAACTATGGCCTTTTCAAAAACAGGCTATACTGAACATTCCTTTGGCTCTTCTCCAGTCTGTCATATTAAATGGATACTTTGGGATTTTGGCACTCACTCACTCACTCACTCCCTCACTCACTCACTCCCTCACTCACTCACTCACTCACTCACTCACTCACTCACTCACTCACTCACTCACTCACTCACTCACTCACTCATGCACACACACTACACACTCACACATACAAAAAGAGGAGGTAGAAGCATCTCCAGTCAGATTTTGTCCAGTCAGACGAAGTACCGGTGGCGGTGTGTGCTTGGGGATGGGGTGGGCAAGCCAGCACTCGATGGAGTTTTCCTGAGAGGGCTCCAATGCTGAGTCAGCAAAAAAAGAACAACCAGCAGCCACACACAAAGAGCCCCAATCCAGCAACCTGAGCCAGTCCCACTGTCACAATAACAACACAAACACCACATGGGAACAATACGCCCCTCTGCTTTCCAGAAGCCCAGGCCACAATAAAGAGCCATGCGCCCAGAGACTCCGGCAGTTTGACACAACAGGTCACCGAACAGATTCTTAAGCCCATCAACGATGTCCATGCAGGGTGACTAGCCTAGCCTTCTGACACACCCCCACACCCCCACACCCACACTCTATCCCATCTCATACCCGCATTCTCCAAGAACAAGGGCCATGCCTCTGCCGAGACGTCGATCCTCCTTCCTGAGCCAACCTGCCGCCAAGGAGCGCCCAGGTAGCGCCAACACCAGGGTTGGCACCACAGGCATCAGCAATGCCCCCCGGGGTGTCTTTGTGGGGACGGCCCCCACGGTTGCCGCCTCCAGCATGGGCACGCGTGTGTCGCGACGCGCCCTAGGCATCAGCAGTGTGTTCCTGCAGGGGCTGAGGACCACGGTCGCGCCTGTGATGCCCCACGGGGCCGGGACCAGTGGCAGGCAACACCCCGGGGGCGCTGAGAGCCTCAACGGCTGCCTGATGGAGTACAGGGATAAGGTGCGAGCCCTGGAGCAGCTCAACCGGCAGCTGGAGGAGCAGATCAAACACTGCCTGGATCGTAAGGCGTCCAGCGCCGGAGCCTGGGGCCTCCTCAGACAGGAATGGGAGGACGTCTACAGACATGTAAGTAAGGAAGAACGAGAGAGAGAGAGAGAGAGAAAGAGAGAGAGAGAGAGAGAGAGAGGGGGAGAGAGAGAGAGAGAGAGAGAGAGAGAGAGAGAGAGAGAGAGAGAGAGAGAGAGAGAGAGAGAGAGAGAGAGGAGAGAGAGGAGGAGAGAGAGGAGAGAGAGAGAGAAGGAAGGAAGAGGGATTTGAAAATGAAGAGAGGGTACAGACTGGTAAGAGGGGGGGTGAGAGAGGGGGAAGAGAGAGAGGGAGGAGAGCGGTAGAGAAGGGAGGACCTCTGAAGACAGGTAAGAAAGGAAGGATGAGAAGGAGAGGATGATGGGAAGAGAGGGTACGGACAGGTAGGATGGGAGAGAGAGAGGGAGGAGAGGGGTGAAGAAGGACAGGGAAGATATCTACAGACAGGTAAAGAAGAGAGGGAGTTGTTGGAATTGTTCGCAAGGTTGATAAATCAAATCAAAGTTTATTTGTCACATGCGCAGAATACAACAGTAGACTGTTGAAAAACACATGAGAAATAAAACACACGAATGTAAGCTATATACAAGTCCATTACCTGTACCATATCCTGGAATTAAGTTAAGAAGCTCCTGCTGAGGCTTCAGTGATGCAGCATTATACTGTTCTATACCTGCCACCTGATGACAGTGATGCAGCATTATACTGTTCTATACCTGCCACCTGATGCCAGTGATGCAGCATTCTACTGTTCTATACCTGCCACCTGATGACAGTGATGCAACATTCTACTGTTCTATACCTGCCACCTGATGACAGTGATGCAGCATTCTACTGTTCTATACCTGCCACCTGATGACAGTGATGCAGCATTCTACTGTTCTATACCTGCCACCTGATGACAGTGATGCAGCATTCTACTGTTCTATACCTGCCACCTGATGACAGTGATGCAGCATTCTACTGTTCTATACTGCCACCTGATGACAGTGATGCAGCATTCTACTGTTCTATACCTGCCACCTGATGACAGTGATGCAGCATTCTACTGTTCTATACCTGCCACCTGATGACAGTGATCCAGCATTCTACTGTTCTATACCTGCCACCTGATGACAGTGATGCAGCATTATACTGTTCTATACCTGCCACCTGATGACAGTGATGCAACATTCTACTGTTCTATACCTGCCACCTGATGACAGTGATCCAGCATTCTACTGTTCTATACCTGCCACCTGATGACAGTGATGCAGCATTCTACTGTTCTATACCTGCCACCTGATGACAGTGATGCAGCATTCTACTGTTCTATACCTGCCACCTGATGACAGTGATCCAGCATTCTACTGTTCTGTACCTGCCACCTGATGACAGTGATGCAGCATTCTACTGTTCTATACCTGCCACCTGATGACAGTGATGCAGCATTATACTGTTCTATACCTGCCACCTGATGACATTAGGTTGAAGCTCTGATTGAGTGGGTGGTCGGAGCTGGAGATTGTGGCAGGCTTTGCATTGGATAGTGCTTTAATTTAGAAGTGATAGATTTGGAATGGGGAGTCTAACTTCGATGCAGTGTTTCTGGGCCTGTTTGCATAAAACATCTTAAGCGTTTCCCTTATGGAATAATTTTCCCTCACCTAAAGGAATTGTTTAAGGGTGTTGCATAGAGCCCCTCAAACATTTCCTTAGGTAAAGACATCATTTAAGGGTTTTATGGTAGTTTGAAGGCATGTAAGGCAGAAAGAGTCTCTGGTTACCATGGAGATGACCTGATTCACTGACTGAAAGTCTCTTCAAAAGAGATCACAAAATAGATTCATTCAAGACACACATTGATTCTGATTTAAAGTTAAGGAAACTTTAAGGGAAAGATATGGGGGAAATTAACTAAGATGTTTTATACAACCGGGCCCAGCGGATCCTTAATTGTTTATTGCGCTGTGAGACTATTAGCATGTTGAAGTATAACAGATGCTTCCATAGATGAGGCATATTGCATTATGATGCATTATGATGCATTATGATGCCATTATGATGCATTATGATGCATTATGATGCCATTATGATGCATTATGATGCATTATGATGCATTATGATGCCATTATGATGCATTATGATGCCATTATGATGCATTATGATGCATTATGATGCATTATGATGCCATTATGATGCATTATGATGCCATTATGATGCCATTATGATGCCATTATGATGCCATTATGATGCCATTATGATGCCATTATGATGCATTATGATGCCATTATGATGCATTATGATGCCATTATGATGCATTATGATGCCATTATGATGCATTATGAAGCCATTATGATGCATTATGATGCCATTATGATGCATTATGATGCCATTATGATGCATTATGATGCCATTATGATGCATTATGATGCCATTATGATGCATTATGATGCCATTATGATGCATTATGATGCCATTATGATGCATTATGATGCCATTATGATGCATTATGATGCCATTATGATGCATTATGATGCCATTATGATGCATTATGATGCCATTATGATGCATTATGATGCCATTATGATGCATTATGATGCCATTATGATGCATTATGATGCCATTATGATGCATTATGATGCCATTATGATGCATTATGATGCCATTATGATGCCATTATGATGCCTTTATGATGCATTATGATGCCATTATGATGCATTATGATGCCATTATGATGCATTATGATGCCATTATGATGCCATTATAACACACTAAGATTTGATACAGGCATGCGTGAGGCATCAGGCATCAGTGATGTAGTGGTATAGAAAATAGGTGGGTAAACGCTGATCACCGTTCACGGTGAAGAAATTAACACTCCCTATATTTTCAATGTGGTTTTCAGCGACAGGTGGGTAAATGTTTGCGCAATATAAACAAGGTGTGTATTCTGTGTTTACCTGCTTTAACCCTCCAATACACCACTGCTCAAAATGTCTGGTCTTGTTATCCTCCCATAAGGATCCTGACTAAATAAGACATTTTGAGTCCGTTGAAGATATCATAAGCGTTATATTAAGACATTATAAAGGTGTGTATAATTAAGCAATAAGGCCCGAGGGGGTGTGGTATATGGCCAATATACCACTGCTAAGGGCTGTTCTTATGCACGACAACGCGGAGTGCCTGGATACAGCCCTTAGCCGTGGTATATTGGCCATATACCACAAACCCCCGAGGTGCCTTATTGCTATTATAAACTGGTTACAAACGTAATTAGAGCAGTAAAAATACATGTTTTGTCATACCCGTGGTATACAGTCTAATATACCACGGCTGTCAGCCAATCAGCATTCAGGGCTTGAACCACCCAGTATATAATGTCTCATATACCACGGCTTTCAGCCAATCAGCATCCAGGGCTCGAATGACCCAGTTTATAACAAGTAATAGTGCTTTATACATGCATGCAGAACACCCATTTATGGAAAAATGCACCCTAAGTTGGACTTCAGAGCATCTGTTGCCCTGTAGTGGATAGACTGACAATTTGCTAAATTGACCCCACAGGTTAGTGAGTCCATCCTTCACACTGCCAGGCTAATGCTGCAGACAGAGAATGTGCAGGCCAACGCTGAGGACTTCAAGGACCGGTGAGCATCCTCTCTCCTCGCATCCTCTCTCTTCGCATCCTCGCCTCCTTGCATCCTCTCTCATCCCCTCACATCCTCTCTCCTCACCTCCTTCCCAAAACGTCAGAACCTGGAGAGTCGAGGAGAAGATCACCTTGACTTTCGACTTTCCCTCTTTGTCCGTTTCCTTCTGTGGTCCTGTAGGTATGAGGATGAGCAGCCCTTCAGGAAGGCGGTGGAGGAGGAGATCGGCTCTCTGTACAAGGTGATTGACGATGCCAACATGACCAAGTCGGACCTGGAGAGCCAGATGGACAGCATGAGGGCTGAGCTTCGGGACCTGGCCTGCAGCCATGAGGAAGTGGGTCCAGCATAAAACAATAAAGCACATAAACCAGATAATCCACTCAGAATACAAGCTGATGGGATTTTACTCACTTAGAATCCACAAGACAATTTTCGGATATTCATTTAGTTTACTTACCCAGCATAGGAATAAATACGGTATACATTTTACATTACATTTGTCATTTAGCAGACGCTTTTATCCAGAGCGACTTACAGTTAGTGCATACATTTTCATACTAATCTCTTCAAATTGCACACTCAACATTCAATACAATATTCAGGGTTTCGCGAATGAGCTGCTTAGTTTGATACACCGACCACACGGTTAACCTGCCCTTCAGGGTCTGGAGAACATGTTGGGAGTAGGTCAGCAACCTGATTCTGCACCGCAACACGTCAAGAGAAAACACAAGTATGAAACCCTAACTGAATTGAAACCCTAACTGCTAACATTTTCCACTGACAATCATTTCGCCTCCATAGAGTGAGAGCCTACACCTCATCGAGCTAATGATCTCAAATCAAGATCATTAGTTGATTTATATGAACCCGGTGTGTTAGTGTTACGTTCTGCTGCCCCCTACAGGACGTGAGGGTGCTCTACAAGCAGATGGTAGGCGGCGAGGTGGACGAGCCGGACACTCCCATTGAGACCAATCTGGACCAGATACTGGCTTACATTCGCTCCCACTGGGAAAGAGTCATCGAGAAGAACCGTGCCGAGACCGATGCCTACCTGGAATACAAGGTAAGTTCATACTGTAGGTCCTCATGTGTACAATCTATAACACCTGAATAACAGGGGGGGAAACAACCATTTACTTTTAATAGATTAAGGTGTACTTGACATTTATTTACATGTCTGTCAGTTGTTTATCTAGTCTGAGGTCAACTTGAGGTTTATTGTGTTTACTAAAGGGGCCAGTCAAAACAAATGAAACACACCTGCTCTTTGATGTAGATTGACGGCTGTACATTTGTGTGTGTGTGTGTATATGTGTGTGTGTATATGTGTGCGAGTGCGTGTGTGTATATATGCCCGTGTGTGTGTGTGTGTGTGAGTTCAGCAGGCAGAGAGTGTGGGCAGTAATCTGAGTCGTGAGGAGGAGGAGCTCGAGAGTCTGAAGACGGAGTGTAACGATGCTGGCTGTAAGATCCAGAGTCTGCAGGCCCAAACGGAGTCCATCAGAGCACTGGTACATACATATCGTGATGCTGGCTGTAAGATCCAGGGGAGGCTGGGGGGTTGGAGGTGTCAACCGCTTCGAAGTCAGCACACCTCCCGCTCTCAAAGATTGATATATTGTGGACATTTTCATCTTCATAAATATTTGTTGCTGTTTTGTGCGATATGAAGCATGTTTCTTTGTGGTTATTTACGGTTGAATTCTGGCCTGAGCCTTCACGTTGTTCTTATTGCTCCAACAGAAGCGCGGTTTGGAGAACTCCCTGAACGACGCCAAGCATTGGCACGACATCGAGCTGCAGAACCTGGCATCCGTCATTGGCAAGCTGGAGTCGGAGCTGGGCGACGTCCGCGGCGACGTCGAACAGCAGCGCCGCGACTATGAGACGTTGCTGGGCAACAAAATGCGTCTGGAGCTGGAGATCGGCACCTACCACTGCATCTTGGATGGGGAGGAGAGACGCTACCACCCCTCCATGTGAGTAGGGTTAGGGTAGCTAACCTCAAAGGTAACCTATCAAAGAAGAAGAAGAATAGCCGAGCAGGCAAAATTTGACACATGACGTAGTAAATACATCATTTTCATTTGTGTTTATGCTATGATTGCAAGGTGAACTCCACGCAATGTATTCCAATGGGTGAGATAGCATGACCTCTTTTGACACAGTGTTCCTCTCAACAGGTGCACAGGTGCATCAGAGCCAGAGGGGAAACAAACCCTCCTTCCTCCCCATTCAGAGCCCTCCGGTAACCCAGAACTCCAAGGTAAAGTCTACAGCCCTGTTCAAAACACGAGGAGGTACAAGGCACTCTTCATGATATCGAAATGCCTCTATTGTGGTGGCAAGTTCAATGGAGCAATATCTTAACTCAGACTTGTTTTTTGGAATGTGAAGCATTCGTCAGGGAGAACAGCTTGTTGAGAGAATATTGACAGAGGCATTTCATCTCTTGCTTAAGCATAAATCCACACACCTGTGAAATCTGACTGGCGTGTGAGAGGTGTGTGAATTTATTCCCTGTTTCTGGGAACATCTTCCTAGTGCTACCCCCAATAGGAGAACCCTTTTTTTGATCCAAGTAGAACAATTTTTTGATTTCAGGTAGAACTATTTTGGGTTCCATGTAGAACCCTCTGCACTCTATTTTAACAAACCAATTGTAAATCTAAGTGCAGGCGGTAGCGCTATGGGTTCAGGGGTCAGAAATATTATTGCTATTTTCACTATCACAATTATCGGCGCGCTTGCTGGCGTTGGCGGCGAAAGGGCTGGGTTTTTAATGAATAAACAAGTTGAGGGTCTGTCGAGGCTTGGCCCCTCACTGGCCAATCAGAACATGCTCCATGGCGAAATATGTGGTTGCTTCAAGTTGTGTATTTACGATCATTTATGTCCGTTATAGTTTGTTAAATGGCTTACAGAAATGAAATAACAAAATGTAGACCTATCCCATCTTTGCTAAATAGGTTAACTTAAACCCATTTGCAGTCCACATTGTTCTAATTTAATTGCATTGCTTCAATAGCATTCACACTGATATAGGGGCTAGGCCTACTGTAAATTACATTATGGCTGATCATGGACATGCCAAACATTGTCAATAAGCAAGATTAAATTCATTATTGATATAGGCCATGTCACACTTACAGGCACCATCATTTCTCCTCGAGGACATTTAATATTAAAACAACTCAGACCATGGAGTAGTTTTACGCATGTCCAAAACGGGACCTACATGGCTAAAATAATGTGGGCCTGCCTACAATACATAGGTAAAAAGGGAACGTCAGCTCACTGTTTTACTCCTCTCAAACACGATTTTTTAAATAAAGCTTTGTTGATAAAGATGTATTTCCAAGCGGTCTCAGGAGCCAAACCCGTTATCGACAGTCTTGACTACTTCGCGACTGCATTGGTGCAGACAAAAAAAAAGCCTTAATTGAGAAGAGGGGAGGCTATGCTTTGTTTTTAATCAAATATAATGAAATGGGAAAAAATATTAGTTTATGTTTCTAAATACGAAGTATACAGGCACCAAAAGTACATTAGGCGACTCTTGTTCCATGCGCATATGGGCATTGTGTGTCAAGGCTGGATAGGCTACTTTTTTTTTTTTTGTCATTTTAGCAGACGCTCTTATCCAGAGCGACTTCCAGTTAGTGAGTGCATACATTTTACATGTGGGTGGTCCCAGGAATCAATCAGACTACCCCGGCATTACAGGTGCCCTGCTCAACCAACCGAGCAATTTATAATACTGGGCTGTGCCATGATCAACTCTAAATTAAACAGGGTAATATATTAACTCTCACTAATTGAAAAATAGGTTAGCCTAGGCAACAATGGAAGTCCAATATTTGTTTAGCATTTATTTTTCATACTGCCCCCCCCCCGGGAATAGAACCCACAACCCTGGCGTTGCAAACGCCATGCTCTACCAACTGAGCTACATCCCTGCCGGCCAATCCCTCCTCTACCCTGGACGACGCTGGGTCTCCCGGTCGCGGCCGGCTACGACAGAGCCTGGATTCGAACCAGGATCTCTAGTGGCACAGCCTTAGACCACTGCGCCACTCGTGCCATAACCAATTGCGTTACCGCTAAAACCAGCTTTTGGTTGGTCTTAAATATCCCTATCAGCGCTGCCTGAAATTAGCACTTTGGATCATAGACCTCAAATATTTCCAACCCACCCATCTGAACGCAACTTAGCTGATATAAGACAGGCGTTAGGGCTGGAAAATGCCAATGCGCCAGTTTTCACACGACGAATTGCAAACTAATGTGCGTTCGACAATAGCGCCGCCTTACGCCGTATGTACGCATAAGTTTTACCATATGTTTTTGCCACATTTTCCGTACTTGAAGCAAACGCAGCGTTCCATTGGAAATGAATGTACTTCTGATGTACCAGACATTATCTGTGTGATCGAGGCGTAAAAGGTTCTACATGGAACTCAAAAGGATTCTTCAAATAGTTCTGCTATGGGAACAGCCGAATAACCATTTTAGGTTCTAGATAGCACCTTTTTTATAAGAGTGTAGTCACCCTTGTAGAAACCAATAGGGGTAGCTAAGACGTTGTTAGGTTGTTTGTAATTATGGAGAACCCGGAGTGACAAAAATCAAATAAATGAATAATGAGAATATATGTATTTCCTCTTTGTCAGTTATCATCTGTGTAATGATCACAAATGCATTATCAATGCATTCATTAATTTTCTAAATTTAATCATGGGTTTATGTGTATGCATTTATTTATTATTTTATTTACCTATTTAGTATTTTCTAAATGTTGTATTGATTTAAATATTTTAATATGTTTCCACATGTATTTTCTTTCCACTCCTGGTTCTCCATACTAGTATGCTGCTGGTTCATAGGGTACAGAAATAATTTCTGCAAGTGCAGGCACACTCACATTCTCTCACCTTCCTTCATACTATTTTAATATATATATTTATTACGCATTTTTTTCAAGTCCTTCATACTATTTCGGTATAATTAACTACTTATTATTTATTTTTTTGTCTTCTCAGGCTCCAACACATCTAGTCCCTAGTGGAAGGACTGAGGACCATTTGGTCATTAACGCCAATGAACGTGAAGCTCTCACCCCGTTGTTCTCCAGGGTCTCTGTGCAAAGTTTCATTTTGGAAACCATGTTCTCACTACAGAGTTGAATAAAATCTAAACCTCTGTAAGAAAGCGTCTGGACCTCTTTTCCAACTAGTCCTCTATTCAAATAGATTGGGGTTAGAATGGGATTTTTCCTTTTGGGGGCAGTGCCTTCAGAAAGTATTCACACCCCTTGACTTTTTCCACATTTTGTTTGGTTACACAGCCTGATTTTAAAATGAATTAAATAGAGATTTTTTTGTCAAAGTGGAATTATGTTTTTCGAAATGTTTACAAGTTATTTAAAAATGAAAAGCTGAAATGTCTTGAGTCAATAAGTAGTCAACCCCGTTGTTATGGCAAGCCTAAATAAGTTCAGGAGTAAAAATGTGCTTAACAAGTCATATAATAAGTTGCATTTACTCACTCTGTGTGCAATAATAGTGTTTAACATGATTTTTTTTATGACTACCTCATCTTTGTGCCCCACACATACAATTCCCTGTAAGGTCCCTCAGTTAAGCAGTGAATTTTAAACACAGATTCAACCACAAAGACCAGGGAGGTTTTCCAATGCCTCGCAAAGAAGGGCACCTATTGGTAGACAGTAGACATTGAATGTCCCTTTGAGCATGGTGAAGTTATTAATTACATTTTGAATGGTGAATCAATACACCCAGTCACTACAATGATACAGGTGTCCTTTCGAACTCAATTGCCAGAGAGGAAGGAAACCGCTCAGGGTTTTAAAGTCCAATGGTGACTTTAAAACAGTTACAGAGTTTAATGGCTGTGATAGAAAACTGAGGTTGGATCAACAACATTATAGTAACTCCATAATACTAACCTAACTGAGTGAAAAGAAGGAAGTCTGTACAGAATAAAAAATTTCCAAAACATGTATCCTGTTTGCAACAAGGCATATACTCCCCACCATTGTGACCTGTACGCTCTCGTTGGCTGGCCCTCACTGCATATTCGTCGCCAAACCCACTGGCTCCAGGTCATCTATAAATCCCTGCTAGGCAAATCCCTGCCTTATCTTAGCTCATTGGTCTAACTTTTGATTGGAGATGCTTAATGTGAGTCTGGAAGGAGAGTTTACAGTCTAACCAGACACCTAGGTATTTGTAGTTGTCCACATACTCTAGGTCAGACCCGCCGAGAGTAGTGATTCTAGTCGGGTGGGCGGGTGCAAGCAGCGTTCGGTTGAAGAGCATGCATTTAGTTTTACTAGTGTTTAAGAGCAGTTGGACGCTACGGAAGGAGTGTTGTATGGCGTTGAAACTCGTTTGGAAGTTTGTTAACACAGTGTCCAATGAAGGGCCAGATGTATACAAAATGGTGGTGGATCTGAGCGTCACCAGCAGCAAGAGCAACATCATTGATATACACAGAGAATAGAATCTGCCCGTAAATTGAACCCTGTGGCACCCCCATAGAGACTGCCAGAGGACCAAACAACAGGCCCTCCGATTTGACACATTGAACTCTATCTGAGAAGTAGTTGGGTGAACCAGGCGAGGCAGTCATTTGAGAAACCAAGGCTATTTAGTCTGCCAATAAGAATGCGGTGGTTGACAGAGTCGAAAGCCTTGGCCAGGTTGATGAAGAGGGTTGCGCAGTACTGTCTTTTATCGATCGCGGTTATAATATCGTTTAGGACCTTGAGCGTGGCTGAGGTGCACCCATGACCAGCTCGGAAACCGGATTGCATAGCGGAGAAGGTACGGTGGGATTCGAAATGGTCGGTGATCTGTTTGTTAACTTGGCTTTCAAAAACTTTCGAAAAGGCAGGGCAGGATGGATATAGGTCTGTAACAGTTTGGATCTGGGCAAGTTGTAGCGGAGGGTGCAGAGCTGGTGGCCGGGGTAGTGGTAGCCAGGTGGAAAGCATGGCCAGCCGTAGCAAAATGCTTGTTGAAATTCTCGATTATTGTAGATTTATCGGTGATGACAGTGTTTCCTAGCCTCAGTGCAGTGGGCAGTTGGGTGGAGGTGCTCTTATTCTCCATGGACTTTACAGTGTCCCAAAACTTTTGGGAGTTAGTGCTACAGGATGCACATTTCTGTTTGAAAAAGCTAGCCTTTGCTTTCCTAACTGATTGTGTATTTTGGTTCCTGACTTCCCTGAAAAGTTGCATATCGCGGGGGCTGTTCGATGCTAATGCATACGCCACAGGATGTTTTTGTGCTGGTCAAGGGCAGTCAAGTCTGAGGAGAACCAGGGGCTATATCTGTTCTTAGTTCTGAATTTTTTGAATGGGGCATGCTTATTTAAGATTAATAGGAAAGCACTTTTAAAGAACAACCAGGCATCCTCTACTGACGGAATGAGGTCAATATCCATCCAGGATACCCGGGCCAGGACAATTAGAAAGGCCTGCTCGCTAAAGTGTTTTAGGGAGCGTTTGACAGTGATGAGGGGTGGTCCTTTGACTGCGGACCCATTACGGACGCAGGCAATTAGGCAGTGATCGCTGAGATCCTGGTTGAAGACAGCGGAGGTGTATTTAGAGGGTAAATTTGTCAGGATGATATCTATGAGGGTGCCCATGTTTACAGATTTTGGGTTGTACCTGGTAGGTTCGTTGATAATTTGTGTGAGATTGAGGGCATCTAGTTTAGATTGTAGGTTGGCCGGGGTGTTAAGCATATCCCAGTTTAGGTCACCAAGCAGTACGAACTCTGAGGAAAGATGCGGGGCAATCAGTTCACATATGGTGTCCAGGGCACAGCTCGGGGCTGAGGGGAGTCTGTAGCAAGCGGAGGTTCACCTCCCAGCAGGACAATGACCCTAAGCATACTGCTAAAGCAACACTCGAGTGGTTTAAGGGGAAACATTTAAAATGTCTTGGGATGGCCTAGTCAAAGCCCAGACCTCAATCCAATTGAGAATCTGTGGTATGACAAAGATTGCTGTACACCAGCGGAACTCATCCAACTTGAAGGAGCTGGAGCAGTTTTGCCTTGAAGAATGGGCAAAAATCCCAGTGGCTAGATGTGCCAAGCTTATAGAGACATACCCCAAGAGACTTGCAGCTATAATTGGTCCTCTGTAGCTCAGCTGGTAGAGCATGGCGCTTGTAACGCCAGGGTAGTGGGTTCGATCCCCGGGACCACCCATACGTAAAAATGTATGCGCACATGACTGTAAGTCGCTTTGGATAAAAGTGTCTGCTAAATGGCATATTATTATTATTATTATATTGCTGCAAAAGGTGGCTCTGCAAAGTATTGACTTTGGGGGGGGGGGTGAATAGTTATGCACGCTCAAGTTTTCTGTTTTTTTGTCTTAGTTATTGTTTCTTTCACCCAAAAAAATATGTTGCATCTTCAAAGTGGTAGGCATGTTGTGTATATCAAATGATACAACCCCCCCCCAAAATCAATTTTAATTCCAGGTTGTAAGGCAACAAAATAGGAAAAATGCCAAGGGGGTGAATACTTTTGCATGCCACTGTATGCTTGAAAATCAATGGCAAGACCTGACAATTGTTGTCTAGCAATTATCAACAACCAATCTGACAGAGCTTGAAGAATTTTGAAAATAATAAATGGGCAAATGTTGCACAATCCAGGTGTGGAAAGCTCTTAGAGACTTACCCAGAAAGACTCACAGCTGTTAGTCGCTGCTAAAGGTGATTCTAACATGTATTGACTCAGGGGGTTGAATACTTATCTAATCAAGATATACAGTGCATTCGGAAAGTATTCAGACCCCTTCACTTTTTCCACATTTTGTTACATTACAGCCTTATTCTAAAATGGATTCAATATTGTTTTTCACATCAATCTACACATAATACCCCATAATGACAAACACAAAAACAGTTTGTGTGTGTGCAAATGAAAAAAAAGAAGGAAATATCACATTTAAATAAGTATTCAGACCCTACTTGGTACTTTGTTGAAACACCTTTGGCAGCGATTACAGCCTCAAGTCTTCTTGGGTATGACGCTACAAATTTGGCACACCTGTATTTGGAGAGTTTCTCCCATTCTTCTCTGCAGATCCTCTCAAGCTCTGTCAGGTTGGATGGGGAGCATCGCTGCACAGCGATTTTCAGGTCTCTCCAGAGATGTTCAATCGGGTTCAAAATATGCAAAGTCTACCCCTTGTTTTTAGATAGGAAGTGTATATTAGATCGGCAGAACGAAAACTTAAAGGGGAAATCTGCAGTTTAAACAAGTGCCACACCGCCACTCTTCCCCCAAACAGCTGAGGGATGGCGCTGGAGAAATGCAACCACTCTCAAATTCATAGAGCTATGGATGCAAGGACTGACCATCCATGAGATCAAAATGATGGTTTTAACCATGTTTTGAGGCTATAGTCTACAGTGTTTGTTTACTCCTTGGTTTGTAAACAATTTAATTGTAAAACAAGCTTATATTTTTGGTTCTGATGGGGTACGACAGTTGAACTAAGCTCATGAGGCATTTATAAGTTATATTCTTCAAAAATCAATAGTATAATTAATTGAAAAGTCCCAAAATGTACATACCAATCACAGATTGCCCCTTTAAGGTCAGGTATTGGGGTCAAAATTAATTAGGGTTAAACCTGGAATCCGTACTTGGTGAAACTGCCAGGCCTGTTTGCGATATTACTTCAACAAATAAGTTACTTTAAACAATGAACACTGTTTGCTTCCCTCTGACATCATTGCACGTCATTGCATAAAACAGCAGAGTGTGTACTGAAAAGTATTTTTTTAAACGATGCTGGACGCTCTGCGCCTCAGTTTAATCTATAAAACATTAACAAATGCGCTGGGGCGAACAGTGGCGCTGTTTCACCTTATGCGGATTTCGGCTTTAAGGTCAGGTTTAGGAACAAGGGTTAGGTATAGTTTTAGTGAGGTTAAGGTTAGGGTTAACCTTGACTGCTAAAGCCAGTCCTTCCAGTGCAATTTGTAGATAGATGTATTTGGTTACGGGTTATATGTATTTGCTGTTGTTATGATTCAATGTTGTCATGCCATGTATTTCAAAAACTGCCGCAAACCAATATAGAAGACTGCACTAACAATTCCAATGTTTCTCAATTAGAAAAAATTGAATTGGTATTTCAGTTTACTTCCTGAATTGAGTATTGACTGAATTGAAATGGAATTGACCCCAACACTGCTTGAGTGTTTAGATTAGACTAACCTGTACCCCCCCCCCCCCCCCCCCCCCCCCCACACACACACACATTGACTCCTACCGGTACCCCCTGTATATAGCCTCGTTATTGTTATTTTGTTACTTTTTATTTTATTTGTTACTTTAGTTTATTTAGTAAATATTTTCTTAACTCTATTTCTTGAACTGTATTGTTGGATAAGGGCTTGTAAGTAAGCATTTCACGGTAAGGTCTACACCTGTTGTACTCGGCGCATGTGACAAACACAATTTCATTAGATTTATATGTGTAAACAACCTTGTCTACTGTTCCAATAGTTACAATTATGTATTTTTAGCTTCACGAATTTTTGTTTTCCAGGATATCCATGTAGCCTAAAACGTGTTCTGACGCTGACTTGTGAGGCCCACTACACACTATGTGGCAATAATGAATCATTTCTCGTCTTGATAGTGTTTTGTCGGTAATGACTTACAGAAGACACCATTTCCCACCAACCCCTTCCTATTTTACCCGCACTATATTAAAATGAGAAGGTGGGGCTACAAAGACAACTCGGCGTTTCATTGGTTGGTGAGCCGGCGTTGAACGCTCGACAACGAGCTAATTCTTTCTTGTGCGTTTCTAACGTCGTCGTCGCCGCGGGTGAACAGGTACAAGACCGGTAAGAAAAGAGCTTTCATTATATTTAAACGTATATGAACCACACCTGACATAGTCACAAATAATATTTTATATGTGGAATTGAGTAAAAAGGCAAGTGATACATTATTGGTTGGATCTGTTAGTTTGGATTAGTAACTAGCTAGCTAACTAAAGTCGAGCTAGCATACCGCCGGTAAACTAGCTAGTTACACAATGCAGTGAAAAAAGGACCACGAGTTGCTTCGGCATTAGCCACCAGTTACCTGAATAATTACTTGGGAGTCTGACTCATCAATCGTTTTTGGATTCCTAGCCAGCGGAATTATTGGCATCTGTCAAATCAAAGGATAAGAAGGCCCACACGGGATTCCTGGATTTGTGATAAGATTGCTAACTCTAGATTCGGAGGTAATTTTAGCTAGACAATTTGGCCTTTGGTTGAATATAACGGTTAGCCTTTAGCTAGCGAACGTTAGCTTGGTAATTTAGGGGCCTCAATATTTCAGCCTCCAAATATAATGGTCAAGGGCGCCAGTTTCGCATCTAGTTAGTTACCGCAATTGCAGTTGGCTAGTTGATTAAATTATGGAGGATATTGGTTAAAATAGCTAACTAGGTAAATGGCAGGAAATGATTACATTACCCACCTGGCTAACAACCCCGGTTCTTCAGCGCTTACTGCTATCCTGTAAGAACGTGAACTAGCTTGCTAGGCTAGCTACAAGAAAAAGGATGCTGGTATCTGGCATTTATTGGTGTTGAGTAACGATGCTAGGCCCGGAATGCACTGGTTGCTAACACCACAGCGGCACCAATTCAATGCACGAATGATTAGCAAGTTACATACCGTCAGCGATCTTGGCGTAAAATCCAGCAGCGATGTAACCAGATATGGACTAGCAATTTTCAACGTCTCGGCTTTGATTGCGATGCGAATGGCAACCAATGATGTGTATAGACACTAGATTGTTAATGCGATGTAGCTAATGAGAGACTTTGAAGCCACCGGCCGCCATATTGGTGCTCCTCAGAAGGACCAGTCCTCCATAGGAATGAATGGAATTCTGCAGTATTTCAATAAAATGGTTCAAACACAAAATGACATGTATGGATTTGTTGTGGGGACAATGAAATTGGTACTCAATTTTTATATTTACTTAGTGATGTTTACATATGTGTTTTTTTTAACCCCTTTTGCAATAGGTAGTTAGTCTTGTCCCATCACTGCAACTCAGGTAGAGGCGAAGGTCGAGAGCCACGTGTCCTCTGAAACACGACCCTGTCGCACTGTTTCTTGACACACTGCTCGCTTAACCCGAAAGCGTCGTAGAGCGCGATGGGACAAGAACATCCTAGGCTCGAACCCGGGTCTCTATCGACATTTTAGTCATTTTAGCAGACGCTCTTATTTTTATACTGGCCCCCCGTGGGAATCGAACCCACAACCCTGGCGTTGCAAGCGCCATGCTCTACCAACTGAGCTACACGGGGCCCACTGCGATGCAGTACAAAAATGGTTGTGGCTTCAAAACAGTGCCCCCAGTATGTTAGCTAGGGTTAATACATATCATTGATGTCAACTAAGGCTGGAAGGGAGGACTTGCAAGCCATTCCACTAAAGCCCAATCAAGCAGGGCTTTATCAGGGTTAAATGCATTGAATTTGTCATTTAGCTGGTCAGCAACAAGTCACCATGAATCTAACAACAGGCGACCCCCTTAACTCAAGCAGTTATATAACGTTACTCTTGGAAATCTAACTAGTGGAAAATAGGTGTACACCCAACATTGGCTTGCTACTCTGTTCCATTGTAGGCGCTGCATCAAACAATACAAAATGACTTTCACCTGAAGACTGCTTAGCTACCGCATTAGCTTCTCGGATAATCCAGATGCAGGCAACACAACATTACTGACCCAGTTTCCCCTACTTTGTTCCCCGTTCGCTGTGTCTTCAGGTTTAATTTAGTCCTCCAGGTCCGCAGCAGCCATGCCCTCCGACCTGGCCAAGAAGAAGGCGCAGAAGAAGAAGGAAGCCGCCAAATCCCGGCAGAAGGCCAAAAAACCAGGAGAGGACGGAGAGGGAGAGGGACCAGAGCAAGGCCAGCAGAATGGAGCCGAAAGCAACGGTAATAGTTGCCAATTATAGAGAAACTAAAGGGCTCAAGTTTAAATCCTCTTCCAGTTACTTTAGGTGTTCAGAGATGTATTTGTATTCTTCTTGCACTAAATCGCTCTTGATTTGAGCGTCTGCTAAATGACTAAAATGTAATGTAAGTGGGTGGTTGTTACCTCATGTTAAATATGGGTTGACTGGCACGCACATGTCTGTCAGTGGAGATGGGTAACCCTTTTCATGTATAAAAAATTACTAACTAAACGTCCCACTGTGTCACAGGTGTGGATATCCTGACCAAGGAGATGGACGAGTTTGAGCTGAAGAAAACTGAGGCACGGGCAGTGACCGGCGTGCTGGCGTCGCACCCCAACAGCACGGACGTCCACGTCGCCAGCTTGTCGCTCACCTTCCACGGGCAGGAGCTGCTGCAGGACACCAGCCTGGAGCTCAACTCGGGACGCCGCTACGGCCTCATTGGCCTCAACGGCACTGGTAAGTCGTTACCGCCACCTGGGTCTTGTTCACTAGGCATAAAACGGAAGAAATCCCTCTGACACAGCATTTTGGATAGGAAACGCTAATTTCCATTTTTTGTTTGCAAATTTTTTTGTTGCTACGGTGTGCTCTAATAAACACGACCCAGCGCCTTTGGGACACCTTTTTGCTACGTCAGTTTCCGTGGTGGGTACACCCGTCTCTGTGGGACGCCTTTTTCAACCAACTCAGCCGTTTTATTGGAACTATCACCACCTTTATTTAGAAATACAAATGTGATCTCTATGGGGACTCAAAAATTACACATTCACAAATCGTTCTACTTTTCCAGGTAAATCCATGTTGCTATCAGCCATTGGCCACCGCGAGATACCTATCCCAGAGCACATTGACATCTACCACCTGACCCGCGAGATGGCGCCCAGCGACAAGACGGCCCTGCAGTGTGTCATGGAGGTGGACGAGGAGAGGATCCATCTGGAGAAGGAGGCAGAGCGCCTGGCCTCCGAGGACTGTGAGTGTTTTGCATCCACCCCTCGCTTACTTTGTCCAACCAGGAAGACCATTGCTAATAGTGTCTCAAATGGAGCAATTTAGATTTGTTCCCGTTTAGCAAAACATTTTGTACCTTGTTGTGGTGACTTCCATAGTGAGTCAGGTTTTGCGTGGGGATATTGTGATTGCTTTATAATGATTGCTTGGTTGTAGTAGTTTATATAGAGTATTTCCACGTTACCATGGGAACTGTGCTCAATGTGGCAGCTTCCCTTCCTAGGCGTGGTACACTACCTCCCATGTCCCGAATAGTCCTACAGAATGTGTTGCCTTCATGATGTAGCATCGGGCAAGGGCACAAAGGCTTATTTGGTGGGATAACAACCGTGATTACACCCCCCCCCCCCCTCAACCAGTTAAAATGAAAACTGTAGAGTAAAAGTTCCCTTCTTTCTCTCCACCACTCCCTCTCTCCACCACTCCCTCTCTCCCTCTTCTTATCCTGCTCCTCTCTTTTTCACTCTCTTCTACCCAAATTCTCATCTGCCTTCTCTTTTCCTACTCCCTCTCTCTCTCTCTCTCCTTTTTCTCTCTCTCTCCCCTAAAGCCGAGTGTGAGAAGCTGATGGAGCTGTACGAGCGCCTGGAGGAGCTGGATGCAGACAAGGCGGAGGTGCGAGCCTCCCAGATCCTCCACGGTCTTGGCTTCACCGCCCCCATGCAGCAGAAGAAGCTTAAGGACTTCAGTGGAGGCTGGAGGATGCGCGTCGCTCTGGCCAGGTACAAAACACACCCTGTACAATACAAAAGCCTGGGCCCGTATTCATAAAGCATCACAGAGTTGGAGTGCTGATTTGATTGGATCCGTTATTTAACTTTTGAATCGTAACAGGTGGGACCTGATCCTAGATCCGCAATCCTACTCTGAGACACTTTATGAATACAGGCCTTGAGCCCAGTCTTTTTCATAGACACTCTCAAGCATCGCTGCAGAAAACTGTCAGATCTTCATGAAAGGGGTAGGGGCCGGGCTGCAAGGGTTCTGAAGGGCGGTTTGGAATTGGGTAAATAACATCAAACTTTCTTTTCCACTTGTTTACTTGAATAGATAACTTAGATTCCTAACAAAACACTCCAACTATGGGATATATTTATAAGGCTTTGGCTCAGAACTGTTTGGAAGTGATGTAAAGAAAGGCCGAATGATAGCGGCACCGCCAAGCAGTATGTTTACAGTGCAACGTCGCAGTGACAAAAACGGACCGAAGCGTTTAACTGATCCCTACAGTTCTGTGCACTCCTCTCTTGTGTTGAGTTTCACTTTGCCCAAATGCTTAGGTGCCCCCCCCCCCAAAAAAAAAGTAACTGTTTTAAAATTCCTAACCTGGGTGTTGTTTGTGTGTTCCTGGAATCCAGAGCCCTGTTCTTGAAGCCGTTCATGTTGCCTAACCTGGGTCTTGTTTGTGTGTTCCTGGAATCCAGAGCCCTGTTCTTGAAGCCGTTCATGTTGCTGCTGGACGAGCCCACTAACCACCTGGACCTGGACGCCTGTGTGTGGCTGGAGGAGGAACTTAGCCAGTAAGGCCATTTACGTGTGTGTGTAAGCTGTAGGACATTACTTTTATTAACCTGAAAAAGCCACCTTAGATTGGTTGAAGTCAGGTTTCTGCTATGACCTACTGTGGTTTGGATTGATCCATAACTCCAGAGGTAAACTGGGAAAAAAATCATGTAAACATTGTTGTTTTCCGCTATCTACTCGTTTTTAAGCTATTTATTGCTGCTGTGACATGATGTAAACAAAAGGCCGAATTATAGTGTCCCTGCCTGGCAGCGTGTTGTCAGTGTGTTGTCAGTGTGTTGTCAGCGTGTTGTCAGCGTGTTGTCAGCGTGTTGTCAGTGTGTTGTCAGCGTGTTGTCAGTGCGGGGGCGCGTTGACAAAAACTAGACCGAAGCGTTTATCTGATCCCAGCAGCGTGCCAAAGAGTATAGAATGGATGCCACAGGGTTTGTTAGTTACATTTTTACATTTTAGTCATTTAGCAGAGGCTCTTATCCAGAGCGACTTACAGTTAGCGCATACATTTTTCATACTGGCCCCCTGTGAGAAACGAACCCACAACCCTGGCGTTGCAAGCGCCATGCTCTACCAACTGAGCTACAGGGGACTACTAGTTCCAAGATTAGATGTTTTAGACATTGCTCATGAAGTTTACTCATCTGTGCTAACCACTGGCTATATACTTTGACTATAATCCCTGACATTTGATGAAGAATCCCCATGTTTGGTGTAACTCAAGATTTGTCTGTATTTTGAAGTGTCCACATTTTTCTCTCTCTCTCCAATTTTAACAGATTCAAACGTATTCTGGTCCTGATTTCCCATTCGCAAGACTTCCTTAACGGCGTGTGCACCAACATCATGCACTTACACGAGCGCAAGCTGAAATACTACACGGTAAGAGCAGCTGCACTTTGCCATGAGCCAACATGGACCAATGAGGTGTTTATCTGGTTTAGAATAATTTTACATTTACATTTTAGTCATTTAGCAGACGCTCTTATCCAGAGCAACTTACAGTTAGTGAGTGCATACATTATTATTTTTATTTTTCATACTGGCCCCCCGTGGGAATCGAACCCACAACCGCCATGCTCTACCATCTGAGCTACATCCCTGCCGGCCATTCCCTCCCCTACCCTGGACGAAGCTGGGCCAATTGTGCGCCGCCCCATGGGTCTCCCGGTCGCGGCCGGCTACGACAGAACCTGGATACGAACCAGGATCTCTAGTGGCACCGCTAGCACTGCGATGCAGTGCCTTAGACCACTGCGCCACTCAGGAGACATACCAGGGCCTAAAATTAACACCGGCCACCTGCCAAACGTGGGTAGATTTTGGCATTGGCCTGTAAGTATGTCTAATTCACCAGCCGCGTTGGCGCGTGGTCACACTCGGGGCTCTACAGTTTGAGCGTTTTAATAAAAATAGTCAAGTATGGGCACAAGGTCGAGTTGTGTTTTTATAGCAAAATAAATATTGCAGTAGCTGTTTTCAAAGTATTTCTGACGTTTTGTTTCATATCTGGTAATGCACAAAGAAATGTGAATCCTAACGTTATAGTTATCCCACCTAGCGCAGCAACACTGCCTGTCTGGGGGGGGCTGTGAGTGCTGAAAGATTAGTTTTTAGAAGCAGCGGCATAAAAGTTGGTCTAATTTACTCAAGTGGCTGGTAGATTATTTGTATGTGTGTGTACCAGTGAAGAGTTTGGACACCGACTCATTCAAGGATTTTTCTTTTATTTGTACAATTTTTTTACATTGTAGAATAATAGTGAAGACATCAAAACTATGAAATAACACATGGAATCATGTAGTAACTAAAAAAGTGTTAAACAAATCAAAATATATTTTATATTTGAGGTTCTTCAAATAGCCACTATATATATAAGTTTGTTCCAAGCATGTGATGCTCCTTTAAACTCACCTGGGGCAAGTAACAGGTGTGGGCAATCTAAAAATCACACCTGAAAGCAGATAAAAAGGAGAGAAGTTGACTCAGTCTTTGCATTGTGTTTCTGTGTGTGCCACACTAAGCATGGAGAACAGAAAGAGGAAAAGAGAACTGTCTGAGGACTTGAGAACCAAAATTGTGGAAAAATATCAACAATCTCAAGGTTACAAGTCCATCTCCAGAGATCTAGATGTTCCTTTGTCCACAGTGCGCAACATGATCAAGAAGTTTGCAACCCATGGCACTGTAGCTAATCTCCCTGGACGTGGACGGAAGAGAAAAATTGATGAAAGGTTGCAACGCAGGATAGTCCGGATGGTGGATAAGCAGCCCCAAACAAGTTCCAAAGAAATTCAAGCTGTCCTGCAGGCTCAGGGTGCATCAGTGTCAGCGCGAACTATACGTCGAAATTTGAATGAAATGAAACGCTATGGCAGGAGACCCAGGAGGACCCCACTGCTGACACAGAGACATAAAAAAGCAAGACTACAGTTTGCCAAAATGTACATGAGTAAGCCAAATTCCTTCTGGGAGAACGTCTTATGGACAGATGAGACCAAGATAGAGCTTTTTGGTAAAGCACATCGTTCTACTGTTTACCGAAAATGTAATGAAGCCTTCAAAGAAAAGAACACAGTACCTACAGTCAAATATGGTGGAGGTTCAAAGATGTTTTGGGGTTGTTTTGCTGCCTCTGGCACTGGGTGCCTTGACTGTGTGCAAGGCATCATGAAATCTGAGGATTACCAAAGGATTTTGGGTCGCAATGTAGGGCCCAGTGTCAGAAAGCTGGGTTTGCGTCCGAGATCATGGGTCTTCCAGCAGGACAATGACCCCAAACATACTTCAAAAAGCACCCAGAAATGGATGGCAACAAAGCGCTGGAGAGTTCTGAAGTGGCCAGCAATGAGTCCAGATCTTAATCCCATTGAACACCTGTGGAGAGATCTTAAAATTGCTGTTGGGAAAAGGCACCCATCCAATATGAGAGACCTGGAGCAGTTTGCAAAAGAAGAGTGGTCCAAAATTCCGGGTGAGAGGTGTAAGAAGCTTATTGATGGTTATAGGAAGCGACTGATTTCAGTTATTTTTTCCAAAGGGTGTGCAACTAAATATTAAGTTAAGGGTGCCAATCATTTTGTCCGGCCCATTTTTTGAGTTTTGTGTGAAATTATGTCAAATTTGCTTTTTTCCTGTTTTTTTTGTGTTATTCCAATACACACAAAGGAAATAAACATGTGCATAGCAAAACATGTGTAATTTCAATACTTTTCTGTGAGAAATACTTCATTTTCTGGAAAAATTTCAGGGGTGCCAACAATTTTGGCCATGACTGTATGTATATATATATATATATATATATATATAATATATATATATATATATATATATATATATATATATATATATATATATATTATAATATATATATATATATATATATATATATATATATATATTTTTTTTACCTGCCACAGTGGCTGATATAGAAGAAAGTTAGTTTTAGGCCCAGATACTTACTCAGACTTCAACCATCTACTTGTTTTATATTGTATTTGCCCTTGGTGAGTTACTCTGAATAAAAGTTACTATATAATCAAGTCATAAGAACAAAGGAAAAGGACTCCAGTGTGCGAGTACATCCCATTTCAAGTGTAAAATGGTACTCATGTAAAAACTGTTTGTTTACTTCCTGGTTAGGGCAACTACGACCAGTACATAAAGACCAGGGAGGAGCTGGAAGAGAACCAGATGAAGAGGTTCAACTGGGAGCAGGACCAGATCAAACACATGAAGGTATATAAGATTCACTTTCTCTAAACACGCTTCCTCATACACTAGTGGTTAGGCAATATTTATGTGAAAGTCGGGCTGACGGCAGTAATATGTGATGGATCAGCCATAGTGATGGGTTATTTTGGAACCACCAGCTTGGCTTGGTCGTTTCATCCAAACCGTTTTAAAGTTCAATAAAGTAGTGTGACACACGGTGATGAGAGGGAGTGCTTCACCAAACAGTTATTTTTGTAAACCTCCCTCATCTTTCTCTCCTTACCACCCCACCAGAACTACATAGCCCGGTTTGGGCACGGCTCAGCCAAGCTGGCTCGTCAAGCCCAGAGTAAAGAGAAGACGCTGCAGAAGATGGTGGCCTCGGGCCTGACTGAGAGCGTTTCCAATGACAAAGTAAGTCTGTTCAGTGACTTTGACTCGGTGGATAAAGGTGATCTTTTTTTTTGTGTAACTAGTTTTGACTACAGCCCAGGGCAAGTCACATGGTCAGAACATTCTCTGGACCATAGTAAAAGTGGATATTATTGAAGGCAGGTCCCCAGAGTTTGGGTGATCTCTATTTGAGAAATTTCTGAACATTAATTCACAACCATAGTTATGGTCAATTGTAACGCAGAAAAGTGTACAGTGGATGCCACGGGGTTAGTCAATTACAGGATAACAGATTTGTTTTATAGAATTGCAAAAGAGAAGCCATAATCCCATAGCTCCATTCAGGGTGGTAGGCCACAAGGCAGGGATCAGACAATCTGCAAATCATCCTGAACTCCTACCTCAGAACTGAGGACAGGAAGCTCATTCTTCTTCTCTTTTTGTAGACCCTGTCATTTTGTTTTCCTCCCTGTGGGAAGATTCCCCCTCCGGTCATCATGGTCCAGAATGTCAGCTTCAAGTACTCTGATGACCAGGTAGGTGATTGTCAAACCTTCTCTCACTTCTGCCTAACTGAATGTTTATCTATTTGTTTTTATTTATGACAAAAGAGAAATTCCAGCTCCAAACTATACTCAATCATGTTTTTCACTATGGTTTGTGTGAATTTGTCTTGTGTTTTTTCCCTTGTTTGACGTTTCAGCCCCATATATACAAGAACCTTGAGTTTGGCATAGACCTCGACACCCGAGTGGCCCTTGTGGGGCCCAACGGGGCCGGGAAGTCCACCCTGCTCAAACTTCTCACTGGAGAGGTGAGTCTTGGCATTATGGTTTATATATGGTAATTTTAGCTAACTAATAGTTCTGCTGTTCGGCCATGCCATGAGGCGTTACCTTAAAGTGGTACCATTTTTACTGATAAGTGAGGGTCAATGAGTAGAAACCACCTGTAAACTGTCATTTTTCTATTTTCTGTTCAGTTGCCTATGCTAGTAAAATGATTTTCAAATGTTTTTTAAATGAATAATTTGTGGGCACTTTCGATGGCTCTTCAACTTATCAAAGTATAAAAAAAATTTGATCAGACATCCCATCCCGGTCCCCTGTCCGCCCCTGCTAACGTCCCCTGCCCTGTCCGCCCCTGCTAACGTCCCCTGTCCGCCCCTGCTAACGTCCCCTGTCCGCCCCTGCTAACGTCCCCTGTCCTGTCCGCCCCTGCTAACGTCCCCTGTCCGCCCCTGCTAACGTCCCCTGTCCCGCCCCTGCTAACGTCCCCTGTCCGCCCCTGCTAACGTCCCCTGTCCTGTCCGCCCCTGCTAACGTCCCCTGTCCTGTCCGCCCCTGCTAACGTCCCCTGTCCGCCCCTGCTAACGTCCCCTGTCCGCCCCTGCTAACGTCCCTGTCCGCCCCTGCTAACGTCCCCTGTCCGCCCCCGCTAACGTCCCCTGTCCGCCCCCGCTAACGTCCCCTGTCCGCCCCCGCTAACGTCCCTGTCCGCCCCCGCTAACGTCCCCTGTCCGCCCCCGCTAACGTCCCCCTGTCCGCCCCCGCTAACGTCCCCTGTCCGCCCCTGCTAACGTCCCCTGTCCGCCCCTGCTAAACGTCCCCTGTCCTGTCCGCCCCTGCTAACGTCCCCTGTCCTGTCCGCCCCTGCTAACGTCCCCTGTCCTGTCCGCCCCTGCTAACGTCCCCTGTCCTGTCCGCCCCTGCTAACGTCCCCTGTCCTGTCCGCCCCTGCTAACGTCCCCTGTCCTGTCCGCCCCTGCTAACGTCCCCTGTCCTGTCCGCCCCTGCTAACGTCCCCTGTCCTGTCCGCCCCTGCTAACGTCCCCTGTCCGCCCCTGCTAACGTCCCCTGTCCGCCCCTGCTAACGTCCCCTGTCCGCCCCTGCTAACGTCCCCTGTCCGCCCCTGCTAACGTCCCCTGTCCGCCCCTGCTAACGTCCCCTGTCCGCCCCTGCTAACGTCCCCTGTCCGCCCCTGCTAACGTCCCCTGTCCTGTCCGCCCCTGCTAACGTCCCCTGTCCTGTCCGCCCCTGCTAACGTCTCGTCATTCTTTGTCCTCAGCTCCTCCCTACTGACGGTATGATCCGCAAGAACTCCCACGTCAAGATTGGCAGATATCACCAGGTAGCATACCATTTTAAAGTGCACTAATAGCCTAAACTGTCTTTGACAAGTCTGTCAGAAACCTTTAATTCATGTATGTTCCTACAAAGCCAAATTTGGAGTAGACTGCAAATTTTGAGAGAGAAAACAATGGAGCTCCACCAACTGATTCTGTGCTGTGGTTATGAAGGGATGGTCAGTGGCATCTTTTGTTTTTTATTGTATTACTTGAAGTTAAAGACGTCCTCCAGTGATTTTATTTTTAACTTATGGTTGAAAAGCGACATCCCAATTATAAATAGTGACGTCCATACATTAACACCTTGGAGTCGACGTCTGCGCCCCTGTGGAAATCAAATTAGCATTATTAAAAAAATTCCCATCAAAATCTGTCAGTTGAAGCTAGAGATCAGGTTTGTTTTGCAATCCTCCGCCGATGTCGCCCTTCTGCATCTGCGGTGAAAGGTGGCAGAGACAGCGGTGTTTGTCAGAACATGAGACATCCCGAAATTCGGCCTTCTCACGAAAACGTCTAGGGTCAGAACGGTTTGGTCTACCAACTTTCCCCTCTATGGAAAGATTACTCGCAACAAACACGATGGTGTTCTCGGTTTTGCTCTATGACCCCCCCCCACCCCCTAACAAGCGTCACGGGACAACTTCTGAAGTTAGACATTTTTACAAATCTGCCTGATTCACATGGCTGAACCTACTCTTTATTTCCTCTCTAAAGCATCTAACAGAGCAGCTGGAACTCGACCTCTCACCCCTGGATTACATGATGAAGTGTTACCCAGAGATCAAGGAGAGGGAGGATATGAGGAAGATCATCGGCCGCTATGGGCTGACGGGCAAACAGCAGGTTAGTTTGATCATTAGTGATCCTTAAAATATTGTCATGTTGCAGACCTGTTTTCAAATACTTTGAACGTTTGATTGAGCCTGTCTGGCATGCCAGGGGAGTGGGGTTTGTACTTTTGGGACTATTCCATTAGTTCCATTTGTACCATGCAAGCTCCTAGGGCAGCTTAAGTATTTGGCAAAAAAATGATTTCTATTTGAACCCAGGTCTGCAGGGTTGTAGTCAATTTAAATTAAACTCAAGTCTGTAATTAAATTAAAACCCTATATATGAATTGGGGGACTGTCTTACGACAATTGACATTACATGTTAGTCATTTAGCAGACTCTTATACAGAGTGACTTACAGGAGCAATTTGGGTTAAGTGCCTTGATCAAGGGCACATCGACAGATCTTTCACCTAATTGGCTCGGAGATTGGAACCAGCGACCTGTCGATTACTGGCCCAACGCTCTTAACCACTAGGCTACCTGCCGCCCTAATTTACTGACATTGGTGCCAATTTTCTGCATTTTCCCAGGTGAACCCCATCAGAAACCTGTCTGACGGGCAGAAGTGCCGGGTGTGCTTTGCCTGGCTGGCTGGGCAGAATGCCCATATGCTCTTCCTGGACGAGCCCACCAATCACTTGGACATCGAGACCATTGACGCCCTGGCCGACGCCATCAACGCGTACGAAGGCGGTATGATGCTGGTTAGCCACGACTTCAGGCTCATCCAGCAGGTGCGGATCAAAGAATTGGAACACTATTTTGTATGAACGGGTTGCTTTTAAATACACTAGTGGACCACTGCCACACTGTCTGAATACACCGGTGCTGCACTGTTAAAATATACTCCACCATGCTATTGGGACGCTGGTGCTGCACTGTTACACTCCACCAGTATACAGTACCGGAGTCAACATTTTTTTTGAATGGGTTTATCATAAATAGTCCTTGTTTACATATACTTACGGGAATTCTTTTTTGGAAGAACTGGGATTGATGCACATTTGTCCCTATTCAACCCCATTTCTCCTTTTCTCCCTAGGTGGCCCAGGAGATCTGGGTGTGTGAAAAGCAGACCATCACCAAATGGAACCGGGACATCTTGGCTTACAAACACCATCTGAAAAAGAAGATTGACAAAAATTCGCATGGTGTATAAAAATTATAAAATGAAACGACCTCCCCAGATTCAAGACTGTGGACTCCCAATTTCCCATTCCATCTTCTCACTTGACTATATATCTCAAAAAGCATGTTGCTCCATTTCTAGATGCCCAATTCCTTACTGCTTAAAGCCTCTTTACAGGCTGCTGGAAGGTTGTGGTGCGTCCTAGTTGCCTTCCATTGCTACCCCTTCAACAGGCATACATACGGTATATTGATTTCTCTGAATTAAAGTTTTAAAAAAATATATGTATCCATTAATGTAGTGGAGAAGATGTGCACTTTGTTTTTAATTCACGGTTCATTACTTTTCCACAGTTCAGAACTAGTAGGATACAAACTGCCAGCAGGGTTGGGTAGGTTCTAAATGTAATCCGTTAGTTACTAGTTACCTGTTCAAAATTGTAATCCGTAACTTTTGGATTACCCAAACTCAGTAACGTAATCTGATTACTTTCGATAACTTTCCCCTTGGGAGGCATTAGATTAAAATGAATCATAAAACACATTTGTCGTCATCAGTGGTCTCTGACTTGTGGTCGGACTCGCTCAGGTGGAACAAATGTTAACTTTAACCTTTTTTCAATGCTGAATTGAATGTCATTGAGAAAGGTGTCATAATGTATTTATTTTTTCCGCAATCATACGTTCTGCATTAAAAAGTAATCCAAGAAGTAATCTAGTTTTTCAAAAGTGTGTAATCTGATTACAATATTTTTGCTGGGACTGTAACTGATTCTTTTTTTGTAATCAGTTACCACCTATACCGTTTTTATTTTTTTTCCTTTTACTCTAAAAGAGCTTTTATTGTCATTATTTAACACTGTACCTGCAATAATTGGAATGTCTGAATAAAGGAGCAAAATAACTGACATGGTTTGTTTTTAGTAACATGATAATTTTGATTAATCAGTAAGTTGACAAAGTGCTTTAGCATAAATTAATGTGCTTTTTCAGTGTCTTTTTAGACTTTTGAATTTGTGTAGATCATTTGATTGAGCGTTAAGGCGCCCACATACTAGGTTTGGTTTACGCCAACATCTGCTTTGCATACTCTCTTTAAAAGACATTTGCTTGAAAAGCAGCAATATTATAATTTGTCTTGAGATGACATAGCAACAACAGCCAGTATACACTTCCTCAAAATAGTCAACTAAGATAAATCAAGAAATCTGTCATACATTGACATTTTTGCCAAATCGGTCTGTCACGCAATTTTACATTAAGATGTTTGGGGCAGTATTTGTCAAGTGAAATGTGCATTTAAAAACTAGTCTCTTGTTGAATGACAAACATTTCATTGAAGAATCCCGTCCATAGTTGCCACTCCAATTAGTAATACTGTTGACCTTGACATGGTCATGGCTAGAGGGATCTATCTTTTGTCAAATATGGGCAGTGATACTTAAGGAGATGGGGAAACTCCATTGGAATCGTATTTAACGCCCATTGTACGTTGTCACAATTGGCGGCGCGGTGCATTCTGGGAAAAGGAAAGCACTCTAAGGAGTGAATGGGAGTCAATCGGGCGCAAGCAACAACAAACAAATACATTTAGCATGAATTTCGTGAACAAGTACAACAAATATTTTCCCAGATGCCAGATCATTTACTTGTTCTCTGTAATATATAGCTTTGGAATCGTGACATTACGTACTTTCGAGGAAAATAGGCAGGTTTCCTTAACTCACCCTGACTTTGGCCATGTTCGAGAGCATTAAAACGACTGCATGAGACTGCCGACTGATCTACAAATCACCATATACTGTATAATACTCATTTGTAGACCAGTCACAATGTACCCATGATACATTGCGGTTTTGATCCTCTCGAACACGGCCATAGCACTGAGTGTCTAAACCAGGGGTGTCAAACGTCCGGCCCGCGGGCCGGATCAGGCCCGCAAACGGGTTTAATCCGGCCCGCGAGATGATTAAAAAAAAAAAAATAATAATACTTTTTTTTGTGTGTGTGTAAAGTATAAAAATGCGCGGCAATTTTTCAATAAAATAAACTGCTGTTCCAATTGCGTCCACTGGATGGCGCAATAGCAATTGTGTTAAGCAAGCAAACTGTTACGGCTTCTACTTTTAACATTATGTGCTTTGGCACCCTCATTGCCCCAATATGTCTCTGTCAAAAAAGAGAAAAGTGGACGCAGAGTGCAGAGTGTTCCAAGAAAAATGGTCATCCTATTTATTCACGGAATTGAATGGGAAAGCTTTATGTTTGGTGTGTTCAGAGCATGTTGCAGTGCCGAAAGAATATAACCTTCGTCGCCACTATGTGAGTCTTCATGCCGACAAATATGACAACTTTCAAGGACAGCGGAGATGAGAGAAGGTGAATGAACTGTTGGCGGGTCTGAAGAAACAGCAGTCTGTGTTTACTCACAGCCGAGACATCAGTGACGCTGCAGTGAAAGCTAGCTACCTCATTGCTAATGAAATCGCAGTGGCTTCAAAACCATTTAGTGAGGGTTAATTTGTAAAAACATGCATGATGAAGGCAGCGGAGATTGTGTGCCCTGAAAAGCGGCAGGCTTTTGCAAATATCAGCCTGACAAGAAACACAGTTGCAGACATGATTTCCGATCTTTCAGTGGATTTGGACAGCCAGTTGAAGCAAAAAGTAAAGTCATTTATTGCGTTTTCGGTTGCAATTGATGAAAGCACGGACATTACAGATGTTGCACAACTGGCCATTTTCATCCGCGGAGTTGATGACACATTGACCGTCACCGAGGAGTTCGTGGAGTTGGTGCCGATGACAGATACAACGACAGCAGCTGATATTTTTACCGCACTCGTCGGCGCGCTGGACAGGGTCGGAGTGGACTGGTCCCGCGCTGTCAGCCTGGCTACAGATGGTGCGCCCTCAATGATCGGGAAAAAAGCAGGCGTTGTGACAAAGTTCAGAGAGAAAGTGCAATCTGCAAATGGAGGACGTGATTTTTTGACTTTTCACTGTATTTTGCACCAGGAGGCTTTGTGTTGCAAGTCATTAAAGATGGATAACGTCATGAAGGTGGTCATCCAAACTGTTAATTTCATCCGATCCAGAAGCCTGAATCACCATCAGTTTGACAGCCTTCTCAGAGAGAAAGACCACATCTATGGCCTGCCATACCACACTGAGATAAGATGGTTAAGCCGAGGTGCTGTGCTGAGGCGTTTCTTTGATTTACGAGAAGAAATTGAACAGTTCATGGAAGAAAAGGGCAAACCAGTGTTAGAATTTCATTCCGCAGAATGGATGCAGGACCTTGCATTTATGGTGGATGTTACAGAGCACCTGAATAACTTGAACAAACAGCTGCAATGGCGCAACAAAGTTGTCACGCAGTATTATGACAGCATACGTTCTTTCAAGTTGAAGCTGTCATTGTGGGAGACTCAACTTGCCGGTGGTGATGCAGCTCACTTCCCCTGTCTGAAAAATGTGTGCGCGACCCAACATGTGGCAGACATGAAGCGGTTCAAAGATAAAATAACGGGACTGTTACGGGAGTTTGAGCAACGCTTTTCAGATTTATGTTTATAATCCCCGAGCCGACTAGGTGAAAAATCTGTCGATGTGCCCTTGAGCAAGGCACTTAACCCTAATTGCTCCTGTAAGTCGCTCTGGATAAGAGCGTCTGCTAAATGAACAATTATTTTTAATTATTATTATTTTTATATGTTTTTATGTTGATGTGCTATTGTTTTTAATTGATTTTATTTTATTTGTATATTTAACCTATTCTTGACTCTGTGGTTCTTGCACTTGTTTGGGGAACAGGATTTCATTATTTTTATCTACATTTCTGCCTGAGAAATGACACCCTGATATAGTTCTGTGATCTGTGAAACAGTTCTGTTAATCACTGAGGCATTGTGTGTTCTTTTTCTTTAGAATTTTCAAATAAACTTGACGTGTTTTATGATTAATAGTGATGTTGTGCTTGTACTATTTTGGACACACTGTCCTCAGGCTCCAGCTTTATGTTGTATGTTGATCGTATTAAAACAAAGAAAACAATCTGAAGTTGTTGTTTTTAAGTTATATATACCATGATTTTTCCGGTCCGGCCCACTTGGGAATAGATTTTCCTCCATGTGGCCCCTGAGCTAAAATGAGTTTAACACCCCTGGTCTAAACCCAGAGGCGCAACATAACGAGACTTCTGGGAACGCTTGCGAAACAGACCAGGCCGGGATTTTATAAGTCAATGAGAGATGTGAAACATTCTTCCTAAGGAACTCCCCTCACCTGGTTGTCTAGAGCGGTGTTCGAATACCCATACTAACATACTGTAAACGAATGGTATCCTTTCAGTTGAGTGTACTAGCGCTTCGCCTGTCTACCGGATAGTTGATGCTGTTGCTATGCAACTTCTTGCTAGCTTGTTAGCATAGCTAACAAATTACTAGCTAGACGTTTTACGACTTCATTAACAATGTCCATTGAGAACGCACAACGACTATACCACTTAGCTAAGCTAAGAATGACATGAATAATCAAGTCAATAAACCTTGGGTAGTTAGTTAGATAGCATATAGTTAATATACTGGCAAGTTCGATGGATTAGTAGCCAACTAAAGTTAGTTAGGTACAGCAGCGACCCCTTGGTTCGATTCCAGGCTGTATTACAACCGGCCCTGATTGGGAGTCCCATTGGGCGGCGAGTTTGGCTGGTGTAGGCCGTCATTGTAAATAAGAATTTGTTCTTAACTGACTTGCCTAGTTAAATAAAGGTTAAATAAACATACAAGCAACTTCTGCAATGATATGTTATGCGGTTCGTAAGGCTAACAAATTGTCAGCCAACGTTACTTATTTGAAAAGTCATTACCTTATTATATTTCTTAACATTTGTCATAATTAGTTAAAGCAATGAATTTGTATAAGCTCTCGTTGGGCTTCGGCTGCATATTTTCCGCCATTTTCTTAAAATATTGTGAAGCCACGCCCATTTTCTGAAGAATTTCATTATGGACCATAAAAGCACGGAAATAGTGTCCACTGCTTGTATACTTCGTTTTTTGACAAATGTAGTACGACATCTGGGAACTTTTGGCATACTAACTGTATCCATACTATGACCAATAAGCATACTGCATACTCAAGTTATGTCACAAATAGTAAGGTTAGTATGAGTATTCGAACACAGCTTAGGTCTTAATTGAAAGGAAAAAACAGAACCAGCAGACACTAGGCCCTCCGTGGAATGAGTTTGACACCCCTGGCCTGCCAAAGACAGTACAATCAGGGGTGTCAAACTCATTCCACGAAGGGCCAAGTGGCTGTAGGTTTTTGCTTTTTCCTTTCCAATTAAGACTTAGACAACCAGGTGAGGGGAGTTCCTTA